AGCCTGGACTATTTCATAACACTATCATTATTCATTTCCTTAGAGGAAAAATTATATAAATGAACTAAATAATGAGGCTGCCTTAGCCACTAGTCTGGGTTGATATTTAAGCCGGGTCAGACTGCAATAGGTGGTTATGCTTACACAAACCATGATTAGAAATGATTTTTAAGCCCAATTCAGCAATTCTCAGCCAGGGTTAGCTCGAACATAAAGCCAAAGACAAGCCAACCCGGGTTTTCATGAAGAAATGAGCTAAACTTGACGCTCTAACACCTACCTAACCCGGGTCCACCCAGTTCTTGAGAAGGGTGCCACGGGTTGGTTAATTGACCCGGCTATCGTGTGAACGTTAATAGGCGGGTATTTATTAGTAGACGGGTTGACCCAGGTTGGCATATCAACCCGGATTCGTGTAAACGGTGCTTATGTTTAATTAAGATGATGGTAAAAGTTCATTCCTTTAACAGTTGTGCTGTGCGTCTTATTTTAACAGATGGAAAATACTTCCAGATGTCAATCTTGTTCCAAGATCTTCTAGATATGCGACTGTAGAATAAATGATGGAAGAAAATCTCACCTTTATTGAACGCCGACTTCTAAGAATCTCTCCCTCTTTCCTTGTCGAATGTCTCTGTAAAAAATATAATTTGAGTAGATTCTGGTACGTATCTTCCTATGAGTATGATAATCATTTTATATCTATGGTAACTCGATACAAAACCGCAACGTTTCCATCATAACTTTGCACTAATAATAAATATATGAGCTGCAAATACAGCACATTCTCGTTAGTTTCTAAGAAAAATAAAATTGACAATAGCTAATAATAAAACACATCTTCTATATCACACCTTAACTCTGTTTTCTTTATCCTTTTGATTATTACTTGATGATAAAGTATCGATATTTTTCCTCGATTTGTAAGCGTACACTTGCGTGTCAAGGTGATCTTGAGCTTGGAGACCAACAGGGATGTTCAGACCCACAGGTGGCACGTGCGTTGCTACTACTTGACGTCGCTGGAAAAGACGATTAGATACATAGCGAAAATTAGTTGAAACATTGGATCATGGCTACTTCTATAGACTTGTTAACAAGATCCAATTTTTTCGGATCTCAAAAACTCATCGTGAGAATTCATATAGCTAAAGTGAGCTTCCGATAGTCCGATCCGTCAGTCTAAAAAATCGGATAGAAATAGAACTGCTCTATTTTCATCCGAGAAGATCAAAGGAAGCCGACTAGCAAAATTACATAGATTAGAAAAAGTCTTGGAAACAAGAACAAAAATAACAAAACTATCTCGATAAATGTACTGGATATAGAACAAGCTGTTCACACGACTTTAACTATCCAAACAAATATAATTATCAACAAATTTATCGGACCATCTGAACAAGCAACCAAAAGTCGGAACCGAAACAATCGGATCCGACAAATCGGATCGTGTGAACGAGCCTTATGGCTTCATAAAAGTTTCTAAAATATTGATAAAAGTTTGCTTCACATATTTCTCATACCTTTGCAGAAGATTGATTAGAGGCCAGCTTTTCCACCAATGCAAGCCTTGAAGACAATGCATCCTGTTGCTGACAAAAAAAAACACCCAAAATGATCGCATTTCTCACACACATTACCAAGTCACGTCAAAATGCAACTCTTAGGGACATCACGTGGCTCGAATGACGACATCAAACAATCTCAAAGCTTGCACTCAGTTGCAAAGCCAACCGATTTTTTACTCCTACAATACAGATTTCTCACCAAAATTATTATTCATCTCTTTAGAAAATCAATTCCATTCATTGCCTTCGCAGTGATTGAGTATAAAAATATTTGCATTGTAGGACTAAAAAACGGGCTGCTTTCGCGACTACTCATTTGAAAATAATCACATCAATCTCCATGGTGATGCTTGGACTTAATGCTTGTTGTTTGGGGAAACCGACAATAAGCTTCACATAATTCTATTGAATTACCGTTTGTTCTTGTTTCTTGTAGTCGTCGGTCACTACTTTTAAATCCATTCCGTCATTACGAATGATCCCCTTCTTCATAGGTTTGCTCTTCCCGGGAAATTTTATGACGTCATACAACTCGTGCCAGTCCATACCTTTGGGCACGTGGAATGCCATGTCACGTGGTACTGGTACGTAGCCAGTCGTCATTAGCCCCAGTCTTCTGGCTTCGTTGATTGTGAGTCCTGGTTCGTATTCAGTGTCGCTCGTGTACAGTCCTTTCACGAGCATGTTCGCGCATAAACGAATATTTTTCAAATAGGCGTATTGCTGATTGAGGAAAAACGAGATGATGTGACGAAGGTCCAGCATTAGGAATGTATAACGTGTCGATAATGATACATCACCAACATTTTCTGAGAAAAAGGACAAGCGTGGTGAAGCATTTTATTTCCTGGAAGCAAATTTCAAACATAAAATACGCTTGGTGAAATTTTACTTTGATCAGGGCCGTAGCTAGAACAATCATTGGAGGGTATTCATGTATTTAGTTGTCTCTGACTGACTTATTTTGAAAAAGGCTTTCTAAAGAAATCAGTCAGCAAAACTTATTACATGAACATACCTCCCATTAACGTTCGAGCTGCGCTCCTGACTTTGATGACCATTGAAAACGATAATTCACAATCGCATTCAATGATTATAGCCTGTGAACTTCTTCATTGTTTACTTTACAGTGTTATATGTGCGTACCTGGGACCGGTTGCATTGAATAGTCAATTTTCAGCATTTGGGAATACCCCCCTAACAGGCAACCAAGTTTCCAACTCTGCGTTATCACATTAACGCAACTGGACACACCCCCAACCTGGACGATCATAACGATTTCTATGAACTCTTCATTCATGAGAGCCTTCTAATCGATAAATTAGTTCAATACCCCAAGCAAGAGGTAAAAACAAACGAATTCTAATCAAGAAGTCATTAAGTCATTTTAAATGGTCCTTGTAATGCAAATATGAAATTGTGTGTTGAAACTTGGTTTCATAAGCACTTTAAAAAGTAGAAAAAATGATGTTGGCTCAAAAAAGCATATGTAGGTACCATGATTTGTAGAGCTCGCCAATATTGCCTCATCCAAAGAATTGGGGGGTGGTCGAGGTACAAATGGAAATTGCAACCATGTTGATGTGGACTTGAATTCTTTAAAAAGGTTTGAAAACGAGATACGTATTGCAAGACCATCTTCAGTTGCCACATCAATGTGTGCGACAAAAAATTTGCTTGATATTGGTTTAAACAAGATGTAGAGATATCGGCCAACCAGCCCCAGTAATTGTGTAGATGTTCGAGGAAACTGAATGTAGTTGCCTGCAGGAATTGAGCCTGCAATGCGATACACGGTACATTTCAGCTGTTTGTCCTGTAAGAATAAGAATAATTTGTTTAAATAAGTTCATTTCAGATACTTGATTAGATAGTAAGGTCAAATCAAGAACCTAAAGATCATTGAATAAATTTGATTTAGCCTATTCATCAGATGTAGAGCTTGGCATGTACACAGACTTGGTACTGGTCTGTAGTGGAAAAGCCAGCTGAAACTTTTATTTCTACAAATTTTTCAGCAGAATTATATTATGTATTACTTTTGAAAATTAATTCCATTTGTTATGTTTCCGGTGATTGGACACAAAAATATTTCCAATATTGGGGTGAAAAATAGGCTGGCTTTGTCACTGCTTCTGTGAGACAGTTGACAAGTTTAAATTTACAAATTAAACTAAAATTTTCATTATTTCTCCATATGAAACAGTGTTAAGTTCAAAGTAATTTGTATGATGCATAAAATTACTGGCGGGGGAGGAATTAGGGGGGGCTGGCCAGATGGCCAACCCTTGATTGATGATTTTTGGAGTGGGGCAGCTCATGTACAGCCCCCTGGTTTTGCCATAAACGACGCCTGTATCGAAAATATTTTTCCTAGAAAATTTTTGACCTCAAGTCTAGTCACTTTTAAAACATTAGACAATTTACAATCATATATTTTACCATAATTGCTGTAACATCGCCTTCTTTTGCACATTTCTTCCATTCTGAAGTGTTATAGTGTTTGAAAAGATTCACATAAGGTTTCTGCCACACTGTGGGTGTTTAAATATGATTAAAGGTCATCATTGATGATATTGTACCAGCTGTTTTGTTCATGTACATATATAATGCTTATTGCATTTGCCCAAGCAAATAATGAAATAATATTATCATAGTAACGAAATATAAACATCAGAACGAATGAAAGGATTTTACTTTGTAATGTCACTTACGTTTGGACATTTTTCATTACAACCTAGACCCTAGAATTTACAGTTGATGTCTTCCTCTCATCTATGATCTGTTCACGTTCATGCAGTACATTTTTGCAATATTTTCTGCCGCCATTTTTTTGAATTCTTTATAGTTGACTTTTTGGTCTTTGAAACTTACTGCGCATGACTTGACTACTCAACACAGCACACCCAAACAGAGCAATAGAAATATATTTTATCTGAACAATTCTTTCACGAATCACGATGCTACGCACAAGAAAAACTTGTGGCATGCAAGAGCTTTCAACTCGTGTAATATCTGAATTACTTTATCATCAGTCAAAAAAATTCAAAATACCATCGCGACTCCTGTGTCCTCTGTCCAATGCGCTTCTATTGTTCAGTGGTTTGATCCAGTGTTAGTCAAAAGAAATTCTAATCGCTAATTTCAAATTCAAAGTACTTTAAGATGAAAATTACGGGAAATGATTTTCTAAAGAATAACATCTTACCAATAGAGTTGTCTATAAGGTGTTTGCATGTATATAAATCCACGAACGAGGAGCAGTAAATTATTTTCACGTACTCTAGATCCACCAATGACAATGATGACATTCATTTTCCTGGTAAAAAAGGGCGCTAACTGCTAATTCTAATTGGTGGTAATCATACATTTCATACTTCTTGTCATATATGTCAGCGGTAATATATCAAAAAACTACTGTAACAAAATCTCTTGACGTTCAAAAACCGAAATTTTTATTGATGACATTTAAATGCATGATAAAAACTGTCCTAGTCATACGTATGTAATTTACGCAAACAATTCAAACGTTCCTTTCAAGAAAGGCAGATCAAAATTATGTACAAGTTTAAAAGCAAGCATTAAAAAATCGCTGATACAGCTTGACCATATTTTACTCCAATGACACGCCCCCCCAAATCTCATTTCAATTTTCTCCGCTTTTTCGTTTTCTTTAACTTTGCACAACCCTTTCCGTACCATCCTGCTCCCAAAAGTCCATTGTCAACCCACCCTTCCATCTCATCGACGTCGCCCTCGGTGTTGTTTTCCAAACAAAGTTTTTCTTTTTCTTCCTTCGACTCAATTTGTTTGACAAGCAGAGCTGCTTCAAGCTCAAGATTTTTGGTGCTTTTTGTGTGTATTTCGTGTTTTCGCAATGGAGTAGACAAGTGAAACACTGGATCCTTTTGCCTGAACAAAAAAGGAAAAATCTTATAATCTAAGCTGTTATGACTCTAACGTTATCAAGCTAAGGCACATTCGCAATAAACGTTGGCTAGGCATAGCTACGTAGGACAAGTAGAACAGAGGTCTCGACCAAGGCAAAAGACTGTGGTACATCCCCAGTCAGTGGCATACATACCACACAAGTTCGTTCTTGCTGCATATGTAAATATGGCGGTCTAAGAGCAACATAATATTCATATTTCATAGATATTTCATAAATACACTGGTCAATAATCGCGCGGGAGTAGCGGCTGAACTAAATTACCATGCCTGGTACTTATAAAGAAGTCAACCCTCAGCTACTGTCAGCCTAGTAGGAACAAATACGATCATAAAGACCAATCCACCTTTCTGACGGTAAACACACGTGTCAAAAATACGAGATCAAATTACAAAATTCGGACAATCAAATGGTCGGACACAGTGTTGATGAGATTAATATGCATTTGTCAAAACAAGCTAAAGAAGACAAAGAGCATGCCAAAAATATATGACTGAAAACTTGCTCTGCGCATCTACACGCACCAATTTTAGAGCTCTTTCACAAATTAATTGATAATTAATCCGAGCATGCGCAGTCGACTTGACCAGCTGCTTAGGTTCATGGTCATGACAACAATCAACTGCATCTAATAGCACTGATTTTGAAGTAAATAGCATGCTTTTAACAATATAATGGAGAAACCATCTGCGCATGCCCACTTGACTAATTGTTCATAGTCATGGCAACGACTTACTAGATGTATTTGCACTACATTTGTGGCAATTAGCTCGGTTGGTCGCAAATTATCAAAGAAATCATCTGGGCATGCGTGTAAACGATGTCAATCACACCACAACTTTCGTACGCCTTTGAATTTATGTGTATGCAGTGGCTTAGGGGCCCAGACCTTGGTCGCGACCGTACTCTCCCTGCGTACTCCGAGCAAAGCCTATCGCAGGTGATCTCGGGGTCTGATGGGCGGAAGCTTGCTACGTATTGGCATCCCCAAGTAGGATAGCGTGGAGGGGCCGAAATCTTCCACCGAAACGTTAACATGCGGCGTTCTAGTGCCTTACGCTTTAGAGGGTATCGGGAAGCATAAACCGAAAACGTGGTTTTTTGCTTTCGAATCTTTTTGTTTACAAGATTTCTTCTCATAAAATAAACCAAGTAATGTTTCAATTAACTTCTTTTAATTTAAGACAACCTTAAACATGTTTAATACAATTTTTATTGGTTTACATCTATTTTGTTTAACTCTCTCATTTACTGTTTCTTATGTATCACGAGCAAACGAGAAAACCATCCATGGGCATCATGGCAAACAAGAATTATCTGGTTCCCTTTATTGACATGCAAAGCTCTAGTGCTCAACTATCTCGGGGTATCGGAGGCATGTACCGAAATTGGGATTTTTTGTTTTCAAAATTTGTCGTTTTTCTTTACAAAAATTCTTTTCATAAATGAGAGTAGAACATTCAAGGATGTTTCAAAGGTTCAAACAACTTCTGCTTTTTGACTTATAATTTAAACCAAGTCTAAGCATGTTTAAACGTTTTTTACTGGTTCCCTTTTACAATGTAACTTTCTCATAACTCTCTTGTGATGAACGAGAACCTCCTTAAACAATGCAACTCTCTCAACATGAACAAAAGTGCCCATGGGCTTCATGGAAAAAAGGGATTATATACTTTTTTAATAATAGTTTTTACAAAGATAACACTTAACAAGCAAAGCCATTTGTATCGTCTAAATTGAACCCTTATGTCATAAAATTTTAATTCATTTTGGATAGTATAATTTTTTTTTAGCTTACAATATTTTCATGATTCAATCTAACTTCACTTCTCATTCAATCTAACTTCACTAATTCAAGAAACTTCACTTCTCGAGTAATTTTGAGATTAAACAATACACTTTTCGGATTCAAAGGACTTTTTTTGATCGCATGGAGAAAGCCGTCCAATTTATTACGTAGATGCATTTAAGTAGTATGCATTTCGTTACATGAAACCACCTAACCAAAGAATATCTCGTTCACATTTTAGCTACATTGAGTGAAGAAAACTGCAAGTCACAGAATTCTTTTAACTGCTATTTTTAAAATATTTATGATTCCATGTGTATCATGAAATTCTAGAAGAGATTCGTTATTGCCTTTGAATTAACACATATTTATAATAAAGCAATGTTTTATGTTATCATTTAGCGTCATCGTAATTTTATACATTTAAATTTATATTCCATTTTTATTCCATTTTTACGTATATAACTTGTAAATGAATATGAAAAGCCAGTTTTAGGGAGATTTCATCCATCAACAAAAATAATAGTGATTAGTGATTATAAGGCAGCAAAACCAACATGTAATTAAAATAACAGAAAAAAAATTGGTATGGCTTGCTTTTTTGCGCTTTATGCAGCTGGAATCCGTCCTGAATATTCCGTCATGCGGTAAAAGCCCGTAAAAATCCTTGCAAAAAAGCCGTTAGCGCAACAACATGCCAGTATTCATGCTTTTCTTCGATTGTTATGCTTTTTTCTCACCCAAAATGGTTAATACATTACTGTTATGCCTTCTGCCTATATAAAAAATCGTTCTGAATAACTAGAATCAGATTCACAAATGCCCCAAACCGTCGGAAAGGTGCATTGTTAAAAACTGAAAAGTTCAAACATTTTACCTTTTATATTCAGGTATTGACAAGCCAAGACGATCCATGACAATTTGCATTATTTCATCACATCGACCATGAATTTTTAAGGTTGCCGATGTATCTTTAGGTGTCCACTAAAACATGAAAAATGTTTAAGGGACCCTTTGAAGGGATAACTTGATATAAAATTGTATGCAAATAAAAACAACACACAGACAACACGCTCTTTTAAAGTATAATCGAGGATTAAATCGCGTACTTGTAAATTTACAATGTATAACTGAGGTCTTCTTGCTTTCGTACGAGTCATCCCCCACAATGAGCTGTATCTTTTTAACACCTATAAAAAATTTAGCCACAGTAAGAAATGTCCGTATACATATGTTTCATTCCGTTACACCGTTCTACATTTAAATCATGAATAGTAGAAAGTACAAAAGATCAAATGATGAACACTTTTGATGTCTGATTTAATGACACTTCAAACTATATGTTTGCAAAAGATCTTGGAAGCTTTTTGGAACGTACACCCTTGTTTGTTTTTTCGGGAGCTATTTCGGTTCTTTTCGTCAGATAAAGATTATATTTGGTAACATTCTGTATACAGGGAGAGGAAAAGAGGGTTCGGGGGATGCACTAAGAAATCACGACTAGTAACTCTTTGGTCTTAAAAACTTGAAACTAAAAGTACACAAACGTAAACTGGAAGTACACAAAAGTACATTAAAAGTACACTAACTAAAGTACACTATAAGTACACTAAAAGTACACTACAGTAAACTGAAAGTACACAAAATTACACTAAAAGTACACTGCAGAACATTGAAAGTAAACTAAAAGTACACTACAGTACATTACAAGTACCGTTTAAAATGAAACAATGCAAATAGTGTATGTTCAGGTTGCCAGCAATGTGGATTTCTACTCTTCCATTAAGTTCTAAACAATTATGAGCCAAACTGAAATATACCGAACGAACTGCTGACGAAGATATATTTTGATAGCTAAGTTATAATCTTAAACCATTTTTTGTATCCTTGTGTCAAGTGGGAAAATTATCAGTACTTAAGCATCACTTACTTTAAGACTAGAACCCAAGCAAAGAATACAGTCTGTTGCTTTACCCGCATCAATAGCACCCTGCCAATTTAAAGGCCATTCAAGGCATCCTTTCTCCCCAAAATGAACTATAGTGTCACGAAGTTTCGCCCCGCAGACATGACAGTTCCTTCCCGTGTTATGTCGACGTAATGCTGTCCTCTCTGTTACGTCAAATGTACGAATGTAAGTACGCTCCGGATCACATTCAGTACATACCTTAAGTAAAGAAAGAATGGCGTTTATTTGATAAACATTCTACATTGTTTATATCACGTGGTCATATAGGATTTAAACGTTGTTCTAAAATATTATTTATACATAAGAAACTATGGCACACTTCTGTCCCTACCGATATGTCTGTGATAGCCTGCAAAGGTCCAAAAGTTGGACAATATTTAGGGGAAACATGCTATTGTCAATTATGGTGATACCTTACCCTGGGTGAAGTATGACCATGTTAGTGTAGCTATAGTAATTTAATGTGTAGCACTAACGAATCAATGGTAATACTATACTTTATATGAAGTATGACTATGTTTGGGTAGCCATAACAAATCAATGGTGCTTTATATGAAGAATGAGCATACTTGTGTTGTCTTAAGAAATCAATGGTAATCATGTACTTAATATATGAAGTATGACCATGTTTGTGTAGCCATAACAAGTCAATGGTAATCCCACGATTTATATGAAGTATTAGCATGCATACTTGTTTTGTTATGTCAAATCAACAACAATCCCTTACTTCCATATACATGTTTCCGTGTACTTCTGATAAAGCCTCAACAGGCAATCCACTGCGTAAATGAAGGCCATCACAGTTCTGAGACACAACATGTTTCACCTGAGAAAAATTTACTTCAGCATTTGTTTCAAGTACTATATGGTGCTTAGTACAGAAGCTCAAGCATCTACAGTAGCTATATACTGATTACTGAACTACAGATGAGCCAATTAGCTGTCATTAAGGCTGACTATTTGACCATTTTTGAAATAATCCATAATGAGCAGATTATATTGTTGCTAATAGGAAAATTTTAAAATTGGAAAAAAAACATTTCTAACACTTTTACACATGAGTACAAAAATACTCAGTCTAGGAATGTAGACCTTACCCCAAAACACAAATCATTTGTCTCATACCTATGACTATCTTTAACAAAGTCATTAAAACTCGGATGTATTCATGCATGTATTGAAACATACTTGTTGGCTCATCACTATTACATGTATGACATTACAGAAGTTGATAGATGTGATTGGTGAAATAAGCCTTATTTACTTAATACAAGATGTCAGGTCAAACTCTATAGAAAACCCAAGACATCATTCATTGATAAATTTAAGTTTTTAAAAACATTAAAAACATATTTTCTTACATGTCCCTCTTCATACAACTTCAACAAACTCATATGTGTCAATGTTGGTTCTGCATCAGAAAGGTTTGCACAGCTTCTGAAAAAAAAATTTGTGAAATACTACACAAGTTCAAAAAAATGTTTGGTCTTAAAACGATATATTAAATGGTTACAAGTAAAATTGGGCTTAGGTATTTTGTTCTGTGATTCATGGTTTGATTAGGATTTGTTGAGAGATTGCACCAAATTACATACACATAAATGGTGTGAATATTTGCAGTTGTACACCGTCCTGTTTAGTAGTGTCTTGAGACTATTATTGTTGGTGTTGACTGATGTTTCTACAACCTGAAGGTAGTCATCTTCAGAGTAAAGAGAGTGAAGAAGCTTGTACTTGTAGTTCTTGCTTGACTCTGAAGATTACTATACTGCTAAGGTCGTGGAAACATTTTTCAACACCAAGAACAACAGTCCTTCTCAGGACTCCACTAACCTGGACGGTCTACATTTACAAAAAGGCACATATGTAAGAATACTCCAAGGCTACAATCATTAAACAGCCCTTCAATTCATGGATAAGTTGCACCGAAGAACGTTAAAAGATTTTGAGAAAACAAATTCTCGCGTTTGACGTTTTAAGCTCTCGAAATGTTACCATGCACCGCACGACTATAGTTTGGTAATTTAGGGAAAGAGGTAAAATTGTGGTCGGTTAAAATTAACGGCGAGGTAAAAAATTGGCCGGTTAACAAGCATTTTTGAGCGGTTTTTGTCCTTTGACTGGCCGTTATTTTGAGCCCTGATTTACGTATTTTAGCTATAAACTTACTGGATTGATTCCCCTTTAGATAATTTAGTCCAAATGCCATTAGGTCCTCTGCAAAGGTTAAAAAAATAACAACAATTTGACCCTTACGCAGTTGAAATGTACACTACATAATAACGAGTATTTGATGTCATTGAAAATCTTCGAATACAACACAATTCTTTGAAGTTTACCTGTAATCTGGTATGGACGCAGCCTAAGTGAGAAACGCAAAGAAATCATTTACCGATTGCACAAAGAAATATTTTTATAAATATGACATGCACAGTAAGAATCAAAGAGATTGCGTCGCTATAACTGGTCTGCCAACTGGTGCCTTAAATTGCTCTTGACATGACCTTTAAAAAATAGCTTGACGTAATTGACCAGAAACTTGAACAAAGTGCTAAAATAGCAATAACATATAGCTTAATATTCATAAAAAATATATATATCAATAGTGCTATACTTCAATAGCATACAATTGTTCATTATCGATGTTGTAAACTTGAGTTTTCTAACTGCAACTTACCGTGCTTACACCAGCCCCCGTATAAACAACTAGGAACTTGGCGTTTTTGATGGCAACTGCCAACTTTGCTGCCTTATCTAATATTTCGCTGGGTGAATCACATATCTAGGAAAATCAAGAAACACTTTACAAGAGGTATTCCTTCGTATATTACAAATGAAACAGTTCATACTTCGGCCATCCTAGCTTTCACATTATCCCGGCGCAAGGCTCTCTTCTTCACTTCGACAACCATTTCTGGCGATTCACCCAATGCGTTTAACTCTTCCTGACTGTAGTCTTCAGGACGTTTCTGTAAGATTGTCTTGATTTGTTTGAAACGTGCCTGAAGCTCGTCGTTGATGAGAGAACGGCCACGTTTGACGGAGCACTTCCTCGCCAAACGTTCACGGCCGCTCGCCATCTTAATTTTTAATTTGTCAAAGTTAAATAATAACAGTGATTAGATTAGATCAGACTCATAATTTGTTGATCGGACTTTAGTTTTGGATTAACTGGTTATATAGGCAATCCACCTAAGGGGCAATGTCATCAATGTCTGGTTTGCTTTGGTTTTATAATGGCTATGGTATAAAAACAATATTTAGCCGCTCAAAAACGATAAAATTTAACGAGATCTCTTTGAATATGAAAGAGTAACTCAATGACTAAGACACAACACTAAGAAGATACGATAATATTTCTTTTGAAATTAACTAATACGTATACTTCAAAGGCTTAGACTGACTTCTGAAATGTAGAGTAAGTCTCTAAGCCACACAAAAATGTAAATTAGGCTATAAAATAATATAGAAAATAATGTATTAGATGTCTGGATTGGTTTAATAAAATGCAGAAACAACTTATGCAAAATGATATCGAACCAAAAATAAACAATGCTTTATTTGGATGTAAATCATTTTCAATGAATCATTTTTCGTTTTTCTCATTTTACACTTTCCAACAGATCAATTTTTGTTGAAATCCACTTAGACCTATCTGGATTTTAGTTTAGTCCGCTTGCCTACCTTGGATTAGTGTTGTATTTGGATTAATGGATTTACAAAATGAAAGCACAATTGCACAATGATGCAATCTTAAGTGGGAGAGAAAGCATAATTATAATATTAAAATATTATTTTGAAACAAGTATTTATGAATGCTCGAGTTTATATGAGCGTTCATGATATTTATGAACTATTTAAATGCGCACAATTATATTTTCAAGAGACTTGCATTCATAGATGTTCCTAATGCAGGCAATTTTGTACGTCGATGTTGGAAAAACCTTTCTACGCTAAGAAATGGGGAAACTGCAGTTTGCATCGTTGGAAGTGGTCCTGCAGGTTTCTATACTGCACAGTATTTATTGAAGGTCTGGTTTGAACCATTATAATTTTAATTCTTGTGGACTTCCATTATCCACCAAAGATTTTGGTGATACTGGGGTGACAGTAGAACCCAAGAGCGAATAAGTCAGCTCTAACTTTACATATATATATTGCATGATACTGCCATGGTGAATCTGATCATTGCCTTGATACGGAAGAAAAGATTCCTAACAGATAAAAAATCTGGCTTTAAGGAGGGGATGCTATGCCAAAATCTTCAATTTTTTAGTTTTTAACGATACCACAGCTGAATCTCTATCAAAGCTACACCATTTCTTCTTTTATGATGCAATAATGTTGCTTTTCCTTTGAAAAACGAGGAGTAGAATTACTTTCTTTAATAAATATATAAAAATTTACAATTTACAATACTGAGGTGAATATTCAATCTTTAATAACTCCTAATACTTTTTTTCTTTAAGTTTCACCAAAGTATACATGTTGATATTTATGAGAAGCTCCCTGTACCATTTGGGTTGGTAAGATATGGTGTGGCCCCTGATCATCCAGAGACAAAGGTTAATAAACACTCTTTTTGTGTTTGTAGTCTTTCCAAGTATTTAGGTGCTGCTTTTCACTGCTCACAAATAGTATTTAAAACTCTTAGTATTTAAATTAAATGTAGTGGTTAGTGGTTATTGAATTTTTCAGGTTCATGAGACAATTGCTTAAATTGTCCAACAAAGTGCGAAGATCATATCTACATTTAATTTCAAACACCCACTGCATGAAACATTCTTTCATATGACTCTTAGTATTTATTGGAGTAATTCATTGCATTGATGAAGGTTTATAAAACGTATTGATGATTTATTTGTGTAAAATGATTAGTTTGGAAGTGTGTATGTATATAACATTTCACAATCATGATTTTTAAAGTGAAGGAATTATACGTACCTTTGAATTTCTTTGAACTTGCAGTGTATTTAAATACACAAACTTTATTTTATTTTCTTTGTTAGAATTGTATAAACCAGTTTACTGCAACAGTTAAAAACGAACGATGTCAGTTCTTTGGCAATGTCAATATTGGCAAGGATATATTGTTAAAGGAACTCAAATCCTGTTATGATGCAGTGATTTTGGTAATTAATGTTGTTGTGCCATGTTGTAACCCATGTTGTACTATGTTGTACCAAGTTTTACAATGTTGTACCATGTACATGTACTATCATGTTGTACCATGTTGTATTTATGTTGTGCATATGTTTTAGCATGCACTTGCACTAAAGATACCATCTTAGTTACTAAATCCTTCCAATTCACTTTCACCATCTCAAGTCTATTTCAATGTTTATCTTTCTCTTATTTTTTACTCTACTCCAGTGTTATGGTGCTCAAAATGACCGAAAGCTAGAAATACCGGGAGAGGTTTGAAAATTCCAATTCTTAGTGTTTTCCTCATCATTGTCATTGTGTTTAAATTATTGCATCTCCCCTGCCAGGATACTCATGGTGTTTATTCTGCCAGAAGTTTTGTGGAATGGTACAATGGTTTACCAGCAAGTAGGGAAGTAAGTGTTGAAATTTTTGCTGCAGAGATTCACAAAACTCTGCTGTTTTTCGTTTAACAAATTTATTGTCATTGGCAAGGAGATAATGTAAATACTTGGCAACTGCAGTTCATTGATGTTTTTGAATAGAACCATAATTTCTGAACGATATGAATGAGCTCTTCATAGATTCGGAAGATTGCATTTTGTTAATGTCCAAATATGTTTGCTCTTAAAAAGATCGTCGTTTTCATTAAATGTTTTTTGAATTTGCTGCTACTCAGAAATTATGGTATCATTATCTACGACCTAGCACAAACGTATGAAGGAAAGGTTTCTTTACCGGACTTCCGCCGAATCTATGAAAAGCTCATTTGATATCCTTTCTTCCAAAAATGAATCTTATTTCATAGCACTAATTATTTTGCACTGAAGATGGCATTTTGTTAACGTCGAAACATGTTTGCTTTTAAAAAAATCGTCACTTTTATTAAATGTTTCTTGAATAGCGTAGTTCAGTTAGCATTCGTGTTCATTTTCAGTTGATGCCAGATTTGAGTTCAGAAACAGCTGTTATCCTTGGTCAAGGAAATGTTGCACTAGATGTTTCAAGAATATTACTCAAACCTGTCAGTATGCTCGAGGTAAGGAAAGATAAACGTCACGAGGGGTTTAATTGCATGTTTAGGTAGGTAAAGATAATTGTGAACAACAAATATGATTTGGAGGAATCATCCAACGCAGTGTTACATACTCTGGGCTAACCCAGGGCGAAAGAGTAAAAGCACTTTGTAAAGCTCCACTGAATCTTTTGATTTTAATTTAGTGGATGAAGATAATGTAAGTTAGTGCAGTCTTTAGAAGAACTGTTGTTGTTCATATTTGACTGACATTTTGACATTCTAAGGACATAAGCGATTGTTGTCTTCAGAGTTATGTGACCACCGCATGTGTATCAAGAACCCAACTTTTGTTGAGTTGATGTGGTCACGTACAGTATAATACTCACAAGAAGTTATTTTTTTTCATTTTCAGTAACACACATATTTCCTTTATGTTTAGCAAACCGACATAAGTGAGTACGCTTTGAAAGCTTTACGTGAAAGCAAAGTGAGAAAGGTTTATGTTGTTGGTCGTAGAGGTCCACGTCAGGTTTGTTTCCTTGTTTCTCAGCTTAGAGTGTGCTAAGGTTTGCATAATTGGTTTTCAGTTAAGAAATAAAAGATGTTTTTCGTGTTTGCAAAGATTTATGCAAACCGAAGAGACCTTTGGGAGAACGCGAGAGCAGATCAGTGCAAGCCCGAGACCGAAGCTCGAGTTTCATTGATTGATCGATTTGATTGGTTGAGCTCAGATCGTTTTGCACAGGCTAATGCAAACCTAGCTATAGACCAATCAGTGCACGCGTTTTGTTGTGTTTATTTTATAATAATTCTTATTACAAAGTTTCCAAAATGTTTTTATTTGTCATAAGTCGTAATGAATGTTCAGATTAAATCTAGCTATAGAAGCTCAGTCACTAAGCTTGTTGGAGAATGTACGTATAAAGGGTACCATTATTTAGTTTTTGTTTTACAAAGCAATGATTGTCTTTGTTTCCAGACTTCATTTACGATCAAAGAGCTTCGCGAGATGTTAAAACTCCCAGGGTGTCGGTCAGTTTTCGAAAGAGAAGATTTTCTACCTTTGAACGAGCGATTGTCAGGTGATATTTTATGACAAGAGGCCAAGTTTCTTTATAGCATTCCTCTGCTTAATCTTTTTTATCTGCTCAACTTTTATTTTTTGTTGCTAGAAGTCCCTAGGCAAAAGCGTCGATTGCTTGAGCTACTTTGTAAAACTGCTTTGTAAGTTTTTATGTATTGCATTTTGTTCGTTCAAGATTTCTCAAATGCAATGGAAAATAATAAAGCCTTGTTCTTCTTTAACACGTGTCTCATTACGTTTTCTTTCAGAAACCCTCCCGAACACGAAACGTGCTCTTTCACGAAAGAATTTAAACTGAAGTTCTGTCGTAGTCCTGTCGAAATACTCCGCTCTGAAATGGGAAATGTCTCGGGCATAAAGTTTGAAGTCAACAATCTGATCGAGGTTGGAAGTTTCGTTGCATGTTTGTAGATGAAGGTGGTCCTGGTTTGACTATGAACATCAGTGAACAAACCAGCAACAGTTCTCAAGACTTTACTAACCTGAACGATCTACATCTACAAACTTGTAACTTCCGTTTTTTACTCAGTCAGAATGTTTATTTTGTAATTTTTAGCTTTTACAAACTACTTTAAGGTTGTATAAATAAATTTTTCGTTCCGTTTGTAAAGCCAGTTTGATCACCCCCTTTGTTTTAGCGTTTGTTTGTGACCTCATTCGATTTTGTTCATTAGGATCCCCATGGTTCTGTGAGAGCTGAAGGCAGTGGCAAAATTGAAATATTAAATTGTGGTCTTGTAAGCATTTAGGAAGTGTTTTATTATAACTACATATAATGAGAGGGCTTGTTTTTACAATAATTTAGAAGAGGGGGGTTATCTAATACAAAAATTAATATTCTACTAAACAAAGTAATTACAGTCTTGTTGCTTGGTTTGTAACTGGCTCTGAAAAGCGTCTTTTGGGAGAGTTCAATAAGTATTGCATTGTATTGAAATTTTATTCCCAATGTTATGAACTTGTGCTGAAGTAACCTCATACAATCAATATCTACAAACATGCAAGGTCATTTTGGCAGAGATCTTTGATTTTTCTAGATATTCCGAAGTATCGGCTATCGTAGTACAACTATAGATGACGATCTACCTTTTGATAATGAACGTGGTGTTATCTCATGTGAAACTAACAACGGCCACGTTACTGGAATGCCAGGTATATATCTAAGATCATTGTGCTTGGGGTGGGGGTGGGAATGGGCCCATTTTCTTTTGTTCGTAACGTCGTCCAAAGCGACTTTTAGCTACCATTTTGCCGTCTAACACTTCATGAAAATTACTTAAAAAGGGCGTGGTATAGTCCTGGCACGGCACGACGTCTTTTTTCCTAAATTTCTCTATTTTTATATTAGGTATTTATTGTTGTGGTTGGGCGCGGACTGGGCCGAGTGGTGTCATCTTGGCAACCTTAAACGAAGGAAGGGAAACTGCGAAAATTGTAGTCGACGACATCAATAAAGGTAATTTTATTATGAATAAACTGAGAAATTTATGCTTTTATGAATTTGCTGTTTCCAAAGGTTCACAATGTTTGTCGATCATATCAAACTCCGTATTAATGTAAGTCCATGTGTTTGTTCATACCATCTCTTACTTCTGAAAACTATAAATTTTGACATACGTACATCCCACGTAGAAAGTTTTGGCATATGATCATACGAAAACTGGAACCCTTATATGTGATTGACTTGTCCAAATAACCGTTTCCAGCCGACAATTTGAAGAATTATATGATAAAACACACTCCAAAAAAGATCATCTTGTAAACTCAATATTTCAGTTGTAATTGCAATAAGCAAGATTTAAAACAATAGTTCGACTTGATTTTAAAGTCATTATCAAACCAAGTGGTTTGGCCAAAGTTTTATTTCTTGTCTCTTGCTAAAACATACAACTCGAATTTCGTGTTTACTTTTCTGTTTTTGAATTGTGCTTTATCTAATATTTCTATGCGCATGCTCGTTATAGTTACTCTACGCTCATATGTTTTAAGAACTAAAATAGTACTTGGCCTGAATATGCGTCTTATATTTATTCAAAACTTCTAGGAAATGTGCCAGACATCAGGACAGAGAACAAAGGCTTTTTAGCCATCTCAGCAATTCTGGAATCTCGAGGTTAGTCGCTAAATCGTTAAATTATTTCATAAAATAAATTTGCTTTTCTCTCTTGGACAATGAGTAATGCTGCCCTCTCGTTTCAGGAATAAAACCTGTATTTTTTGAGCAGTGGGAACGTATCGACGCCTGCGAACAACTGTTGGGCAGCGGCAGAGGCAAACCAAGAGAAAAAATCACAGATACCGAATACCTTTTGGAATTAGCTCATGGTGTTAAAGAATGCACAAATGATAAATGAAAATGTCGATTATTTCATTTTTATTTGTGATAAATACACAGAGTTAATCAAAAAAATTTAGACACTTCGAAAAACTTCTATTAAACGTTCTCTGGTACAGCTGATAATAATTTTTTTAAAAATGCAAGATCTTTAACCAGTGAATGAACCTTTATTAATAGTCCTTCAAAATAGGCCTTACGCAACAAACGTACTCATAAACAAAGTAATCCAGTTTAATCACCCAGAGTCAAAATATGGACTGTGCGATCTCTAAAACTTGGATTTTTGTGTTTGTACCTTTTAAAACCAAGTTTTATTACATCATTTTGATAATAATTACAAGCATTTCGGAAATATGCATGAAATAGCTACAATATGAAGTGAGCAAGCTAATTCCAAAAGGTACAAATATTGTAATAAAACGTGATGTGAAATGCACAAAACGCGAAATAATACAAGTTTTAAAGATCTCGTGAAGGCCAGTTTTTGCCTCAAATTGCTTGAAATTGTTTTATAATTGATAAAAATGTAATAAATTATCCGTGCTGAAACTGCTCTAGTTTTTGTTTATTTATTGTTGTTTGCTCATAGTTTTTCTCATGAGTTTTTACAATGTTTGTATAACGGTCTATACGATATGTTTTCTAAAGTTGCCTTGCATGGGTACTATTAAACCAGTAGTTATTGTGCAAAAGTATTCCAAAATAGATGGCAGAAGTCTGTTTTGGAACACATTGACTTTATGCAGAACTTCTTTTCTGAATTAGAGAGCGAGGGAACTCTCTAATTAAGTAAGAATTTTGCAAACACTCATTCATGTCCATATTTTTGTTTTGGTGTGTTAAAATTTGATTTTGCTCTAGATATTTATAAACTTTTGACATATTGAAAATCTCTAATAGATCATCTGCAAACACCGATCGAAGAATTGAAGTCAAAGATTTTGTCTTTCCAAAAAATTGCTTTTTTAAATGACACTACTTAGTCTAAAAACGATTTAAAAATAACTGGTTATTCTTACCGTAAGGAACGTTCACCATATGAATGGCTACGTTGTGTCCATGGTAGGCTACATGGCTCTAAAAGAGACACAAGCAACAAATTTTTAGATTTGATGAACAAAAACACACTTACACTCCTGACTTCTTCTTCTTTATCTTCTTGTCCTCCGCATCTGAAAAATAGTAAGCAACAAGTTAGAGATATGATAAAACAAACAAACTAGCAAATTAAAAACAAACACATACCGCAGTTTTAATTTGCCACCGTTGCCATGTCGGAACATCTGTAAGAATAACAATTAAAACTACAATCGTGACAAACTCTTGAGGTTCACATGTATTTTGTAACACCAGTGTTTGCAGAAGATCTTTTAAAATTCCTGTAGAGACTCGCACTTTACAATGATTATCAGAAGAGAGCTGTAAACTGCGAACGGAAGGCTTACTTCGATGTTTACATGAAATTGCTGTCGGATATTTCAAATAACTTTATCAGAAAATGTTTGTGTTCACTATTTCATTGTCATAACATCCCTCAATGTTATAATAATGCTAGTTATAGGTAAATAAAACGAGTAAATATTTAACGTCGATAGCTTGCCTGATAATCACTTCAAGTTCACGGAGACCAAATGTCATTTAAAGATTTTGCAATACTCTGCCAGCGTATTGCAATTTCTTTTTGCAACATTTAGAAATCACTTGTAAATTAAATTTCGTTTTAATTTCACATGCAAGGACCAAGTATTTGAACTTTCACAAGAAGAGCCTCCATAATCCACATTGACATGTCAACAAGCATATGTTAACTGATTTGTGCTAACTTCTGTAACATTCCTCAATGGTATAGAAATGCCATGCAGTCAGTTAACATGCAGTCAGTTAACATGCCGGCAACACATCCCTTTAATCCCAAATCTCCCAATTATTGCTAACAAGTAAAAGCACTATTTCGTAGACTACTAGAGGTACAACTCTCTTCTGGTCAGTCTTGAAGAATGGACATCAAGGTAAGAAAGAACATATTGTGTCCATGGATAATTTATTTCCCTTTTTTGCAACATCTTGACGAAGACTTGGTGTTCTAGAAACATATAATAATATGGAGATATCGTATTAACATTTAAATATTTTTCCATTAACCGTCTGTATCTTTCCTACAGATACTCTTGGTAGTTTAAATGGAATTTTGATCAAATATTTTAGTACGTATGTTAAACATCATACTTTTTGTTTTGTTTATCCATTCTTATTTTAAGAGTTATTATGATATCACTCACATCGCTGCCATCTTTCATCTTTATGTTCTGCGATTATCAACAGTTCATTATGGCAAGCACTTTTTAAATTATTTGATTTAAAACTGAATTTCCGAACTGATGACTGTATTTGAAATTAAGCATGGACACTCGGGGTACGATTTTGACGTCATAGAATTTTTTTCATTCAATGCCAAAGTTACCCAATGATGTCTTGCAAACACTCACATTGTAATACCACAATAAAATACCAAAAGCATAAAAAGCCAAGTGACGACAAAGTATTTAGCAAAGACAATAAAAGCAAAACCTGAGAGATTAGACGTAAGCACAAGCATAAGCATAAGCATGACTAAGCACAAACCGAATGACGAACAAAACAAAACGCCGTTTTTGTTTTTTAAATCTCACTAGGACAAAAAATTAACGTTTCTTGCTCATGCTTGTTTTTATTCTAGAAGATACCGGGCATGATGACGCAATGTTTAACTGCAGACCATTAGACATGAGAATCGCGATTACCTTACAAATACCTACATTCATTAAAACGATTCAAATTCTTCCATTTAACTACAACGAAAATCGTACAACGATATCTTCATATTCGTAATTTAGGTATTAGCTACCGCCAAGAATCCATGCTCCAACAGAATGATCTTCCGAACGATTCATCAATTATCGTTATTCACCAAAATTATCGTTATCCATTTTGTCTATAGAATAATTTCATCAATACCAATTTCTTCAAAAGACACCGAGGTTGTATCATCTGCCCGAACGTCCTAACAAGACCTTTCCCAAACTTTTCACCAACCCAACGAAAACCTTGACTTCAACAGCTAGACATCCTTACTCGAGAAATATCAATGAGAAAATAGCAGGCAGACCAGTTGCACTGCTAGTTGTTTATAAAAATTTAATCCTTATCCACCTACATGATCAGAGTATATGATTGGTTCAAACTTCAAAGTGCTATGAAAAACAGTACACTACAAAAACGATAAATCTAAAGAGCGAGAAAAATTGTTTAATTAGCCCAATTTGAAGAAAGCAAATTCATATAGGTGGTGTACAACCATTCTCTTGGGAGTGAGAGAACAATGGAAGTTTAGCCATGTTGGATGACATTTGCATTGTAAATAAAGAAAATCCTTTGTTAAAATATCCAACATGGCGGCCATGACGTACTTGCATACCAAATTTTAAGTAGATATTTTCACAAAATTTTTTACAGTCAAATGAAATTGCAAATGCAAATTATTTCTATTTGAAAGTTATAAAAAAAACAAGCAAATTTACAGATGTGGCTTAGGAGGCTTTAATTCGTGAATCTCGAAGTATTTATTGAGAATTTTACGCGCAAGCGAAACATCTTTTGTTATTTTGAAAAGTACGGTACATTTTTTACGATACACGCAGTCCATAAAGCTCAAAAAGTATTCGATTATGATATTACTTCCGTAAACATTTTGATATCTCCATTACTCTGCTCCCTACAATTAACTTTCCATGACGCAAATGAGACTCCTTTTGCGTCAATGCAATGTTTATTCCAGTGGTTGACAAAACAAATATTAATTGTAAAACATCTTAAAATTTTGTCAAAATAGGCACAAATGCGTACATGTGGGTAGCCATGACTTACGCAGTTTAGATGCTTTATGTAATGGCCTTTTTAAAAACAATATTCAAAGATAAATTCGTCATTTTTAAATTAACATAATTAATGTTTATATTTCTGCCTGCACATTGGCATGAATTGTAAAGTTCGTTTATGATATTGTCCAAGTTACATTACTGTTCAATATGCATTCCCTTGAATGGCAAAACTTCAGCTACAAATTCTGATCTACAAAAATTCATGGAAGGAAAATAATCCCATGAAGAACTACTTCCCATTTTAAAATGCTCTGCCGAATGGAGGATGCCATTATCAGACCGTCCTCCCATAACAACAATTATATCTCCTGTGATGACTGCACAGCAAGAAGATCTCTTGTTTAACATAGATGGTAATTTGGTGATCTTGCCTGTTTTAGAGTCATACATAATAACACTTCTCATAGTGTTCAACTTTTTGTTAGGGTAGGTGGATACACCACCAAGAATAACAACTTGATCTCTCCATTTAACTGTAGCCATTTGTGTAAGCGGATGGGGTAATGGAGGCATTTCCTTGCATCTGTTTGTCTGTGAATCAAATGCCAACACACTGTCCAATAATTTATCGCCATCTGTTTTCCCACCAATTATCAAAACTATATCCTCGAAAACCTCACAACCATGAGATTCTCGAGGCTCGGGCATGAAACATAACTCTCTTACAACGCGAGATGTGCTGGGGTTAAGCTGTAATTTACAAATCTTATCTGATATTTCTTTCTCATTGTGATTATCAGTATTAGGAAATTGAACACCTCCAATATGTAGAACTTGCTGCCGACAGACAATATTTTTATGCCCTGTGCATCGATAAGGAAACAAAGACAATCCTGCCCAAGTCAGAGGCAACTCGTTTAAATTCAATATACTTACAAAGTGAGGAGCCCGATCTAATTTGGAATCAGAGCGCCCAAATCTTTTTTGTAAAGGATCATCTCCTCCAATAATGAACAACTGATCTTTCTGAATACATGATGAAGCATTTGCACGAACTATTTTCATTGGTGATACGTTAAACCAATCCTCTTCTTCCCATGAAAATATTTCCACCTTTTCGATTGAGCCAAAATATTGATTACACCTGTGGTTACCACCAGCAACTAAAATATCGTGAGTAGTAGGTGTGCTAACTATTTCTTTAGTTGGTGATGTTACTGCTACAGCAGATTGATGTGTTGAATTCATCTCCTCCAACATCTGTGCTTTGTCATCATTTATTTTTTCAGAGTTTTCAACCATTGTAGCAAGATTTTGTTGAAAATCTTTTATTTCCTTCATTGATACCATCATTTCTTTCTGGATTTTTACAAATTGACTGGTCAATTTTTCATCAATTTTTCGATGTATCTCTGTTAATGCTTCGTTCATTTGTGTTTGCATTTTTCGAAGACATTTTTCAACTTTACTGTCAAGATCTTTTATACTTTGTTGTAGTATAGCGACATCTTTACGCTCATTAAAACAATTTTTTCTGTATTTGCATATCTCAGTTTCATGAATAATCTTGTCTTGTTTATTTATCTCTTGACCACAACCTTCATTGGAGCAAAAAACAGGAGCAAAGCCACAATTCTCCACATGCTTTTGAAGATTTTCAACGTTTATAAATTCAACACAACCTCGACTAACGTAGTCGCAATTGATCTTCAACTTCGACAAAAAATTATTTATAATTCTCGCCTGCCGTAGTGTAGCTTGGGTTAATTCTTCTTGACATTCAGGACAGTTAGGTGAATTTATTCGTAAATGCTCTTCGATACAGTAACAGCAAAATATATGATCATTGTTCCGACAAATTCGTCCATCTTTTACAACATTTAGACAAATGGAACAAAGAAAATTTTCGTCCACACTGCTCTCAAATCTTGACCTTTCGTAGCCACGATTATTATCTTTCACGCAGTAAGCCATGCAGTGAAAGTAATGTAATGTGGAAAAAAAGAAGAACCTTATAAACAGATATTTATCATAAAAGTTACATTAGCTGGATAGTAAAGGGTGAGCGAGCGTAAAATAGAATAGTTTTGTCACTCCAATTTCACTTCTCTGGTGATTAAATTTCGCTATTTAGGTATCCATTTCACCGCAAGAAAGAATTTTCTTGGCAATATTATGACCAAATTTGCTAGATTTTTGATAACAATATTCAACTACCATACGTAATGATGGTCTTTTAAGAAGTAATGAAGTATATTGCTATTTGCTAATCATTATCAATCGTACATTAATTTAGTAATCTACTGGTATAAATAAGAATTCCACAAAGGTTAAAGACATAGAACGATATCACTATCCAAGACCCAGACATCTCGTTTGTATTTGTTGACCTTTCACTCCGAACTGTTGCACTGTTGGTTAACATAATATGCGTTCTTCATGCCATGTTTCAATATCTACAATCGACCCTCAGATTTATCACTTTTTATGGCAACACCAAATTGCAATAACAATTTTCCTCTTCCACAACTTAACTGTCTCATTGAAGAACTCACTTATTTCAACATACAATTAGACATGTTAACAGCAACTTGGCTGAGCTTATTGCGAGTAATGTTTGCAGTGAAACACTTTAATCCTGTTTTTAATTTCTCATCTTAATAAGCATATCATATAAATCTATTTGTAAACGTTCCACTCACTGTCCTTCCACTCAACTAGGCAATCTTAATTTCACTATTTGCCCATTCAGGGATAAATTCAGGTAAATATTCAAATAAATTCGCCGCTCGTTTGTCATTTAAAAACAAGAAATTTTCTGTGACGTTTTTGCGTGCGTCTGTCTACTTATAGATCATAGCTCTCGACCAATGAAATTTCTCAAGTTCTTCTGGTTATTAAATATAAAAATAAACAAATACACAAATAGTCATACAATATTTTCGATCTCTTCACCAATCTTCTGCCGTCTGCAAGCGCGCGGTTGTTCTATAAACAAGATGGCAGAATGTGAATATCCAAACGTCAAAGAACCAAGTGAAAAACCTGTTTGCATTATTACGCTAGGAATGGCTGGCTCTGGTAAAAGTACATTTGTACAGGTTAATTTTTTAAAAAAGTTCTTATTTATTTGAAGAATACGTAATGTAGTTGAGAAAGATACTTGTTTGCATGTTTACACTTGTTTGCATTGCATATTTGTTGCATTTACTTGCCGTTGCATACATGTGTTATGTGTAGCCGTGTAGCGGTCCAGGTAGTGCGCGTAGCCAGCGTAGGTTGTCAATATGGCTATCAACTTGGTCCTTTCTACACTGTGCTGGGCATAAGTGCACAGAAAAACAAAAATTTGTCAGTTAAACTCATAGCCAAAAAGCTTTAAATTACCCACCTAGCTTTTACGTACGTTTGGCAATTTCTGGCCTGAATTTTCCAACTTTCTATTATTTCTGTCCAACTTTTACTTCATGATGGGGAATGCTGCTCCACTCTGCCTTAGCAGCTATTATGCATTGTGATATTATAGTTATGATAATTACATTATATGCAAAGTTTTCAGTTGAGTAGAAAGGAGTAAACTCAATTCAACTGAAGATCTTATTTACAGCACTTTTAAATGTTCTTTATTACACAATCAGAAAATTGTCTCATAAATTTATGTCTCACGAACAATTTACAGGTGCATTTATAATGCATGGGTGAAACTAGAATGTTAAGTGGGAGGGAGGGAGGTGAATATTTATATATTCAGCTGTACTCTGCAAATTTCTTTTGAAATTATAATCACTAACAAACCATATCAGTCAAGCAGAGTTGATTATACGAATATTCACCCCCTCACTTAATGTTCTAATTTCATAAGGTATAATGATAACATAAGTCAGACGTGTGAGTTTAGATACAATAATTTTCAAGAATTCACTTCTTGGCCATTACCTAGTGAACCTGTATGTTGAATTTACCTGTTATCTGGACAATTTTAACGTAAAGTTTCTCATGGTCAATTAGCTAATGCTTAAGCATGTACAGATATTGGAAGCTAATTATTTGATAAAATGAATGTAATAATTGTGCAACAGGTATCCTATGTCCATGTGTCTCACTCCATAGAGTAGAGAACAAACTGTAAGGCCACAACTACACTTGTAATTATTACAGTAGCTTGTAGTCAATAGCATTTTCTGACCAATAGCAATGTTGACTTGGGTAACACAGGCCATTGAGAAATCTAATTAAACATATAGTACTGGGCTGCACATAAATAATCTTATTGTAACCTGGCTTTTCCATTGTAGAGCAAATGTACCAGGTTGCTTAGTCAGTAGAGGATATTGGGCATGCAAAGCCATTTAAAATTCTTCAAGTGTTCCAAACAAAGGGAAATTTGTCAAAGATGTTTTAGTTGATTTCATACTTGTAGAGAATCTGGGACAGACAGAAATTAATGCTGACATCTTAATGTTAATGACATTTTAATGGGCACATGTTAATGCTGAAATGTTAATGCTGACATGTTAATCCCAGGCAGTCATCAATTATATTCATAGCAAGACTTGTATAGCGCAAGCCCAGGCACAGGTCTTAAAAATGGTGGGGAGTGTTCTAAATTTTAGGAGCAAGTTTTGTAGTCTTCTATCAGTTTCTCAACTTATCTTTCATACATATTAACCAAAGCTGTCTAACCACCCCCATCTCTCCCTTACCCCTAATGTAAACCACTGAGTACCCAAGCTTCTTGTTTTGTAATAACAGGATATGTGTTTAGGTTAGGGCTTAGAAATGCATTTAAAAGTCTTAAAATGCTCCACACAAAGGATCTTTTTGTGTTTATTTTCATATAAATATGTTTTATATGATTTCCAATTGACAGAGAATCAACGCTCACCTTCACGCAAGAAAAGAACCACCATATGTTGTGAATCTTGATCCAGCTGTCTATGAAGTTTCATATCCCACCAATATTGATATTCGTGATACAATAAAATACAAAGAAGTGATGAAGCAGTATGGAATGGGTCCTAATGGTGGGATAATGACGTCATTGAATATGTTTGCCATACGATTTGGACAAGTAATTGATTATATTGAGAAAAGATCTTCGGAGTTCAAGTGAGATACATTTTTATGCATTTCATATTGTAAAGTAGCATGCATGTAGTAACTATTCTGATTGGTTGAAATCCAAGTTCAGGTAAGACCGTAAAATACCAAATAGATCACATACTAGGCAAAGCCGCAACTGAAGAATCTCTTGTCCCTCCCCAAAGTTGAAGAAAGTTTACTGCATAAGTCTTTGGGAAATGAAAGAGAAAAATAATATGGAACTTTACGGTATTCAAATGTCTACATTCCAGCAAACAGATTATCTTTTTCATTTTCTAAACATTGGATAAAAATCGTTTTCATCAACTTTATTGATTCAAAGTACGTATATACTAGTGCAGCTCTGGCTTGCGTCTCTACTGTTGATTAGTTAGGATTAGGGTTAGGATTAGGGTTAGGATTAGGGTTAGGGTTAGGGTTAGGCCACGAAAACGTAGTGCACAGTAACGTAGCCAGCCGGCAAGTTTTGGGCGTGCTACGTGTTATTATTTGTTGAGAAATCTTTTGTTTTTACAGTGATTAGAGATGGACACATAGAATTTAGCATAGCAGGACTTAATTTTCTGCCTGACTACGCCAGTAGATAATTACACCCACACATCCTCCCTATTAATGACCTTAGCCCGTATGTTAAGGAGTTCTTTGGTCACCCCTGTCTATTGTAGCCACTGAATAACTTTGGACATTTTCACTGACTGGCTTTAATTTTTTAATATTCAGACATGTCTTCTTCGATACTCCTGGTCAAATCGAGGTTTTTACGTGGTCAGCATCTGGAGCTATCATCACTGAGTCCCTCGCCTCGTCATTCCCCACTGTGGTTGCCTACGTCATGGATACGTCACGATGTGTAAACCCCGTTACCTTCATGTCCAACATGCTTTATGCTTGTAGCATCATGTATCGCACTAAACTTCCTTTTATTGTTGTCTTGAATAAGGTAAAAAAAATTTCTTAAAATGTAAGTAACGGATCTACTCTCTAGCTTCATTGAGATGCGATTTAACAGAAAAATCGAATTGTGGGTTAGGCAAAATTGTTACAGGTGTTTTCTTATCATGTCCTTTGATTGCTTCATTCAAAATCGTCGTATGTTCTTGCTAGGATTTGTTGTGTGCATTTGTCTCGACTTATAGCGTTTGGCGATTATTTTAAAATTTTCTTTAAGGCAAAAGGGATTAATTCAAACTGGTTAAAAAAAGTTTATTATGAAAGACAACGTAGTTTCATTTTCTAGACAAAAATGTTCCCACATTTTTTATTAATCTTAAAGAAGTCACTAACTCATGTTACAGCGCTATTCTTTGTCCTGGCCCTTGCTCATAGGAGGTTGTCACATTCAAGGGCGTCGGAAGCGAGGGTGCAGGAGGAGGCTAAGCCTCCCTCCACTTTTCTTAGAAGAGTCAGTCCCCCCTCCCCATTTAGCATTAAAATAGCAAAATTATAAAGAGAGTGTTTACTAATAGTCTATTTTGACCATAAAACATGTGTATCTACAATGCAGCCGAGTTGATTTCTAAAGAATCACGCAGGAACCTTTTACAATTCTTTTATTTCATTAGTTTGTTATATGCGCGATTGGTCAAGTATCGTTGCTAAAATTCAATATTGCGTTTAATAATGTTCTACATTGGTACTCATAATTTCTAACATACCCCCACACGCACACACACACACAAACACTTTTATGTTTTTTCCTACACCCCCGGTCACATTTGCTTGTTTATTACCAAACAAAATGGCCGTTTTTAAATTTCTAGACAGATATCGTTGATCATAAATTTGCTCAAGAATGGATGAGTGATTTCACTGCGTTTCAAGAAGCCCTTTCCCAAGAGACTTCGTACATTTCCAGTTTATCCAGTTCACTCAGTCTTGTTTTGGACGAGTTCTACGTAGGATTACGAAGTGTTGGTGTCTCGTCAATGACCGGTGCTGGTGTTGATGATTTTTTCAAAGCTGTTCGCGAAGCTGTTGTTGAATACAAAACAGATTATAAACTTGGTAATTTGACATGACAAGACTTTCTCAGACCTTACAAATCTTTATTAACTGATTTTATCTTATTTCTTGTATATTTCAGAGTGTTAAGACTGTTCTTGTTCTCTGTTGTTCATTCATAACTACCTACACTGACACACGTTATTTTATTTTTTATATATTTTAGATAGGCTAAAGACTGTTCTTGTTCTCTGTTTGTTCGTTCATCACTACCTAAAATAACACACATTATCCAATATCTTATACGTTTATGCAGTGTAAAGACCTATCTCGTTCTAAGGTGCTCTAAACCACGCCATTTTTTTGTAAATATTTTAGAGTATGAGAGACTAAAAAAAGAAAAAAAAGACTCGATGGAAAAGTCAAAGAATGAACAACTTGAAAAATTGCGCAATGATATAGGGCGTGGTGATTCGGTTCCCATGGAAACCTGGATGTCCACAGAGAAGCAGTTGCCAACGAAGAGGAATCCTGAAATCAGCCTTGGCGCGTGTGATGAGCTGGATGAAAACATGGCTGAGGAGGAAGAAACTTCGGACGATCTTTTAGATCAAGTGTCATTTAAACGTTTCCTTAGCAGAGAACATGAAAAATCGACCAAAACGTAATTTACATTTGATAAATGCAAAGATACCACATCACATGGGAAGACAAAGTTTCTCCAATCCGTGCAACAAGTTATGGTCTGATCATCAACTGATTTCTTATTAACGAATGATGACGACAAATATTTTTTTGGCTTCAATTTTTGGCTTCGGTTATCATTCCAGTAATTTAAATGTCGAGTTCACTGCGTCTGCCACAGCCGCTGTTGCGATCTTGCTTGTGACCGGTTTTTTACCCTTGTTGTAAAAATTTTGTAAGCTTCATTTTGGCGCCCGGGGACATATGTACACCGGCGCCCCCCTCTAGCTATGCCTCTGCAAGTTGTATTGAAATTTGAAAGTTGAAGATGACGAGGACAATTTCAGCCGTGCGAGGCATTTTTAGAAGATAAATACTTAAATTACAACTTTACAACAAAGTGAGAACAAAGGTATTCATGTCCTCAACATATTCATCGATAGTGAAGTTGTTCACGTAGGAACTGGTTGAAAACTTCGCTTCGCTTAATGACAACAGAGGTACTTTAATTCGCATATATTGATGATGTACATCTCGTAGAGTTTGATGATACCGTTTTCAATTTACTATTGTTCATCAAAATTATTTCTATGCCGATTTGTTTTGTTTCTTCACTGATATAATAAAGACGTAATTTGAAATTATTATATCAGCGATGTGAATAACAAAGTGTTGTTAAATAAGTAAATTTGTCGCAATCTACCATAAACGTCATTGCAAATGAAATTTTGGTAGCAGTAGTAGGATTCTGTAATATTTCTACATTTTTTAAGAAGCAGCAGCATCATATAATCTTCAGTTTGTTTCAAAACAATGCAGGTCGACCTGTATCATCTCAATTTTCTGCCATTATAAACCAAGAAAACAAACTTTTTAGGAATAAAAATCTTTGCAGGTCTCTTTAACAAAAATTTTGCTCGAATCAAAAGTTTGTAAAACGAATAAAAACGCAAAAACTGTGATTTTATAATACAAAAGTATAATAAAGTGGGACCGATACCCCCCACGAAGGTCATAATCAGTGGGACCGATACCCGGCTTCAATTATCTTACTAAATTTTACACATGAGGATGCGTTATCCAGTGTAATATACATATCAGTGGTGTAATATACATATCAGTGGTGCGGACACTTTTCGACTCTCACATAGTGGTTAGCCACGCATGCGCAGAGGCTACCCATAAAAACATTTTCATGGGCCAAAATAGGTACGTAGTGCGAACATATGGGTAACTGTGACTTGATGCTTAAATAATGGCGTTTTAAAAACTTAAAATAACATGGTTATTGTCTATCTTTTTCCGATTGATTTCTCTAGCATCATAAAGTAGTAAAACCACGTTTTTTTTCGAGCATTACGTACATTAATCAACACTGGTGTTTTTGAAAGACTATTTATAAAAGATATTTACTATACAGGCTTATAGAAGCCAAGGATACCTTTGGGAGAACTTGAAAGCAGACCAGTGCTGGCCAAAAACATGTAAACTGATCAATATCATTAAGTGAACATGCACATTTTACAGGAGACTGTTTGTTTTTGTCCACCTTGGATGATTGCATCCATGCACATTGGCATCAATTGTAAGTTTTTTTCACTAAGTTACATTATTTTTCGACATGCATTCCCCTAAATGGTAAAACCTCTGCTACAAAATCTTGTCTAAGTTGATTCATGGAAGGAAAGTAATTCCATGCAGAACTACTTCCCATTTTAAAATACTCCACAGAATGAAGGGTACCATGATCAGACCGTCCTCCCATGACAACTATAATATCTTCGGTAATGACTGCACAGCAAGAAGACCTCTTGTTCAACATGGATGGTAATTTAGTGATCTTGCCTGTCTTAGAATCATACAAAATAACACTTCTCATAGTGTTCAACATTTTGTTAGGGTAGGTGGATACACCACCAAGAATTACGACTTGATCTCTCCATTTAACTGTAGCCATTTGTGTCAGTGGATGGGGTAATGGAGGCATTTCCTTGCAACTGTTTGTCTGTGAATCAAATGCCAACACACTGTCCAATAATTTATCATCCACTGTTTTTCCACCAATAATCAGAACTATATCATCAAAAACCTCACAACCATGAGATTCTCGAGGCTCAGGCATGAAACATAACTCTCTTACAACACAAGATTTATTGCTAGTGTTAAACTGTAATTTACAAATCTTATTTGATATTTTGTTCTCAAGATGATTGCCTGCGATATAAAAATTAGCACCGCCAATACTTAGAACTTGTTGTTGACAAACAATATTTTTATGCCCCATGCATTGATAAGGAAACACAGACAATTCTTCCCATGTCATAGGCAACTTGTTTAAATTCAGAACACTTACTATGTAAGGACCAGGATTTAGTTTGGAAGAAGGACAATTACGACCTGTCTGTGGACATTTTTTACAGGGATCATATCCTCCAATAATGAACAACTGATCTTTCTGAATAAATGATGAAGGAATTGCATGAAATTTATTCAACAATGATATTTTAAACCAATCCTCTTCTTCCCATGAAAATATTTCCACACTTGCACTTGAAATACCTATACCACCACTCGAATGACCACCTGCAACCAAAATATTCTGAGCAGTAGGAGATGTCATTATACCTTGAGTTGGTGATGTTAATGTTACAGAAGTTTGGTGTGCTGAATTCATCTCCTCCACTATCTGTGCTTTGTCATCGTTTACTTTGTCAGAGTTTTGAGCCATTGAAGCAAGATTCTGTTGATAGTCTCTCATTTCCTTTATTGATTCCATGATTTCCTTCTGGATTTTTGCAAATTGAATGGTCAATTTTTCATCGATTTTTCGATGTACCTCAGTTAATGTTTTATTAATTTCAATATGTGCTTGCATTTTATGAAGACATTTTTCAACTTTACTGTCAAGATCTTTTACACTTTGTTGTAAAATAGCGACATCTATACGTTCATCACAATTACCAACTTTTCTCTTTTCACAAACTTCAATTTCATGATAAATCTTGTCCCGTTTATTTATCTCCAGACCACATCCTTCATTGGAACAAAACGTTGGGGCAAAGCCACAGTTCTCCACATGTCTTTGAAGATCTTCAACGTTAATAAATTCAAGACAACCTCGACTAACGTAGTTGCAATTGATCTTCAACTTCGACAAAAAATTATTTATAATTCTCGCCTGCCGTAGTGTAGCTTGGGTTAATTCTTCTTGACATTCAGGACAGTTAGGTGAATTTACTCTTAAATGTTCTTCGATACAGTAACAGCAAAATATATGATCATTATTGCGACAAATTCTTGCATCTTTTACAACATTTAGACAAATGGAACAAAGAAAGTTTTCGTCTACAGAAGTCTCAAATCTTGACCTTTCGTAGCCACGATTGTCATCGTTTACGTAATAAGCCATGCAGCAAAAATATTGTGAGTTAGGATGAAAACAAAAATCTTTATACAAAGGTGTTGTTAAGCGCGAGCGACTGTACGTACCGTCCGCCACTCCTACCGGTCTAACGATTTTTTATTTATGAATTATGAGGAATATATCTACATTAATACATATAAAACATAAAATTAAATAAAAAGTACATAAGATAAATGGTGCTCAATATCTTTATGGATAGAGTAAAATTCAAATTTATAACAGTACAAAAATAATAATATCAATAAATACATAAATACATACATACAGTGTGGGTTTTTTTGTTTGTAATGTTCGAAAGCCGTTGCATGAACTCTGCCAGTTAGTAATTAGCTATGTTCTTTTGTACTTATAATGTTTAGACAACGGTTAAATGTGATCTATATAATAAAATCAAAAAAATTTTCTTTGTCTCTCAACACTTGCTTTGAACACTGAAATTTGAAAAGTCTTGTCACAGAATAGATACAACTGTATCTATTCTGTGGTCTTGTTTGCTAATACACGCTTACGTGTCTATAGGATTAAAGAAATGCTATTGGCTAGCTAAATCATGTGATAAAAAGTGGTTGGCAAACAAAATAAACAAGCAAAAAGCTGATTAATGTTGAAATTTGTAATCGAAGACGAAGTACAAAGCAATACTTCAAAACCGGGTTTTTTCTTTTCTTTTAGCTCAAATACGTCCACTGCTTCAACATGGCAATCTTAATTTCACTATTTCCCTATTCAGAGATAAATTCAGGTAAATATTCAAATAAATTCGCCGCTCGTTTGTCATTTAAAAACAAGAAATTTTCTGTGACGTTGTTTGCGTGCGTCTGCCCACTTATAGATCATAGCTCTCGACCAATGAAATTGCTCAAGTTCTTCTGGTTATTTGATATATATAAATAAATAAATACACAAATAGTCATTCAATATTTTCGATCTCTTCACCAATCTTCTGCCGTCTGCAAGCGCGCGGTTGTTCAATAAACAATATGGCAGAATGTGAATGTCCAAACGTCAAAGAACCAAGTGAAAAACCTGTTTGCATTATTACGCTAGGAATGGCTGGCTCTGGTAAAAGTACATTTGTACAGGTTAGTTTGTGAAAAAAATGCTTATTTATTTGAAGAATACGTAATGTAGTTTAGAAAAATACTTTGTTGCATATTGCACTTGTTTGCATTGCATATTTGTTGCATTTACTTGCCGTTGCATACATGTGTTATGTGTAGCCGTGTAGCGATCCAGGTAGTGCGCGTAGCCAGTGTAGGTTGTCAATATGGCTATCAACTAGGTCCTGTCTACACTGTACTGGGCATAGGTGCATAGGAAAACAAAAATTTGTGAGTTAAACTCAAATCCAAAAAGCTTTAAACTACCCTACCTAGCTTTTGCATACATTTGGCAATTTCTGGCCTGAATTTTCCAACTTTCTCTTATTTCTGTCCAACTTTTACTTGATAATGGGGAATGCTGCTCCATTGTGCCTTAGCAGCTATTATGCATTGTGATATTATAGTTATGATAATTACATTATATACAAAGTTTTCTGTTGAGTAGAAAGGAGTAAACTCAATTCAACTGAAGATCTTATTTACAGCAATTATAAATGTTCTTTATTACAAAAATAGAAAATTGTCTTTAAATTTTTGTCTCACGAACAATTTATAGGTGCATGTATAATGCATGGTGAAACTAGAATGTTAAGTGGGAGGGAGGGAGATGAATATTTATATATTCAGCTGTACCCCGCAAATTTCTTTTGAAATTATAATCACTAACAAACCATATCATTCAAGCAGAGTTGATTATACAAATATTCACCCCCTCACTTAATGTTCTAATTTCATATGGTGTAATGATAACATAAGTCAGACGCATGACTTTAGATACATTAATTTTCAAGAATTCACTTCTTGGCCATTACCTAGTGGACCTGTATGTTGAATTTACTTGTTAACTGGACAATTTTAATGTAAAGTTTCTCATGGTCAACTAGCTAATGCTTAAGCATGTACAGATATTGGAAGCTAAATATTTAATAAAATGAATGTAATAATTTTGCAACAGGTATCCTATGTCCATGTGTCTCATTCCATAGAGTTGAGAACAAACTGTAAGGCCACAACTACACATGTAATTATTACTGTGGCTTGTTGTCAATAACATTTTCTGACCAATAGCAATCTTGAGTTGGGTAACACAGGCCATTGAGAAATCTAATTAAACATATAGTACTGGGCTGCACATAAATAGTGCACATTAACTGTAACCTGGCTTCTCCATTGTAGAGCAAATGTACCAGGTTGCTTAGTCAGTAGAGGATAATTGGGCTTGCAAAGCCATTTAAAATTCTTCAAGTGTTCCAAACAAAGGGAAATTTGTCAAAGATGTTTTAGTTGATTTCATACTTGTAGAGAATCTGGAAAAGACAGAAATTAATGCTGACATGTTAATGTTAATGACATTTTAATGGGCACATGTTAATGCTGAAATGTTAATGCTGATATGTTAATCCCAGGCAGTCATCAATTATATTCATAGCAAGACTTGTACAGCACAAGCTCAGGCACAAGTCTTAAAAAATGCTGGGGAGTGTTCTAAATTTTAGGAGCAAGTTTTGTAGTCTTCTATCCGTTTCTCAACTTATCTTTCATACATATTAACCAAAGCTGTCTTACCCCCCTCTCTCTCCCTTACCCCTAATGTAAACCACTGAGTACCCAAGCTTCTTGTTTGTAATAACAGGATATGTTATTAGGTTAGAGCTTAGAATTGCATTTAAAAGTCTTAAAATGCTCCACACAAAGGATCTTTTTGTGTTTATTTTTACATAAAGATGTTTTATATGATTTCCATTTGACAGAGAATCAACGCTCACCTTCATGCAAGAAAAGAACCACCATATGTTGTGAATCTTGATCCAGCTGTCTATGAAGTTTCATATCCCACCAATATTGATATTCGTGACACAATAAAATACAAAGAAGTGATGAAGCAGTATAGAATGGGTCCTAATGGTGGGATAATGACGTCATTGAATATGTTTGCCACACGATTTGGACAAGTAATTGATTATATTGAGAAAAGGTCTTCGGAGTTCAAGTGAGATACATTTTTATGTATTTCATTTTGTAAAGTAGCATGCATGTAGCAAGTATTCTGATTGGTTGAAATCCAAGTTCAGGTAAGACCGTAAAATACCAATTAGATCACATACTAGGCAAAGCCGCAACTGAGGAAACTCTTTTTCCTCCCCAAAGTTGAAGAAAGTTTAGTACGTAAGTCGTTGGGAAATGAACGAGAGAAATAATATGGAACTTTACGGTATTCAAATGTCTACATTCCAGCAAACAGATTATCTTTTTCGTTTTCTAAACTTTGGATAAAAATCGTTTTCATCAACTTTATTTATTCAAAGTGCGTATTTACTAGTGCAGCTCTGGCTTGCGTCTCTACTGTTGATTGGTTAGGGTTAGGGTTAGGCCACGAAAACGTAGTGCACTGTAACGTAGCCAGCCGGTAAGTTTTGGGCGTGCTAAGTATGTGAATTTCAGAACATTGAAATTATTTCTTTAGAAATCTTTTGTTTTTACATTGATTAGAGTTGGACACAGAGAATTTAGCATATCAGGACTAAATTTTCTGGCTGACTACGTCAGCAGATAATCCCTATCAATGTCCTTAGCCCTTATGTTAAGGAGTTCTTTTGTCACCCCTGTCTATTGTAGCCACTGAATAACTTTGGACATCTTCACTGACTGGCTTCAATTTTTTAATATTCAGACATGTCTTATTTGATACTCCTGGTCAAATCGAAGTTTTTACGTGGTCAGCATCTGGAGCTATCATCACTGAGTCCCTCGCCTCGTCATTCCCCACTGTGGTTGCTTACGTCATGGATACGTCACGATGTGTAAATCCCGTGACCTTCATGTCCAACATGCTTTATGCCTGTAGCATCATGTATCGCACAAAACTTCCTTTTATTGTTGTCTTGAATAAGGTAACCAAAATATATTAAAATGTAAGTAACGGATCTACTCTCTAGCTTCATTGAAATGTGATTTAACAGAAAAATTGAATTGTGAGTTAGGCAAAATTGTCACAGGCTTTTTTTACAATGTTCGTTGATTGGTTCATTCAAAATCGTCGTATGTTCTTGCTAGGATTTGTTGTATGTATTTGTCTCGACTTATAGCGTTTGGCGGTTATTGTAAATGTCTGCAGAGTTGCACTGTTGCCTGTAAAATTTTTGTCTTTTTTCACGTGTCAAAGTTGCTTTTTGGCAGCTGTATAATTGGTTACACAGCCACGCCTGTTGCACAAAGCCCCTCGGTGGAATTTTTTTCGACTATTTTAAAATTTTCTTTAAGGCAAAAGGGATTAATTCAAACTGGTTGAAAAAAAGTTTATTATGAAAGACAACGTAATTTCATTTTCTGGACAAAAATGTTCCCACATTTTTATTAATCTTAAAGAAGTCGCTAACTCATGTTACAGCGCTATTTTTTGTCTCGGCCCTTGCTCATAGGAGGTTGTCACATTCAAGAGCGTCGGAAGCGAGGGTGCAGGAGGGGGCTAAGCCTCTCTCCACTTTTCTTAGAAGGGTCAGTTCACCCTCCCCACTTAGCATTAAAATAGCAAAATTGTAAAGAGAATGTTTACTAATAGTCTATTTTGACTATAAAACATGTGTATCTACAATGCAGCTGAGTTGATTTCTAAAGAATCACGCAGGAACCTTTTACAATTCTTTTATTTCATTAGTTTGTTATATGCGCGATTGGTCAAGTATCGTTGCTAAAATTCAATATTGCGTTTAATAATGTTCTACATTGGTACTCATAATTTCTAACATACCCCCACACGCACACACACACACACAAACACTTTTATGTTTTTTCCTACACCCCCGGTCACATTTCCTTGTTTATTACCAAACAAACTGGCCGTTTTTAAATTTCTAGACAGATATCGTTGATCATAAATTTGCTCAGGAATGGATGAGTGATTTCACTGCATTTCAAGAAGCCCTTTCCCAAGAGACTTCGTACATTTCCAGTTTATCCAGTTCGCTCAGTCTTGTTTTGGACGAGTTCTACGTAGGATTACGAAGTGTTGGTGTCTCGTCAATGACCGGTGCTGGTGTTGATGATTTTTTCAAAGCTGTTCGCGAAGCTGTTGTTGAATACAAAACAGATTATAAACCTGGTAATTTAACAAGATAAGACTTTTTCAGACCTTACAAATCTTCATTAACTGATTTTATTTTATTTCTTCTATATTTCAAACTATAAAGACTGTTCTTGTTCTCTATTGTTCATTCATCATTTCCTACACTGACACACGTTATCTTATTTCTTATATATTTTAGTTAGTGTAAAGACTGTTCTCGTTCTCTGTTGTTCATTCATCACTACCTACACTGACACACGTTATCTTATTTCTTATATATTTTAGTTAGTGTAAAGACTGTTCTCGTTCTCTGTTGTTCATTCATCACTACCTACACTGACACACGTTATCTTATTTCTTATATATTTAGTTTGTGTAAAGACTGTTCTTGTTCTCTGTTTGTTCGTTCATCACTACCTAAACTAACACACATTATCCAATATCTTATACGTTTATGCAGTGTAAAGCTTATCTCGTTCTAAGGTGCTCTAAACCATGCCATTTTTTGTAAATGTTTTAGAGTATGAGAGACTAAAAAAAGAAAAAAAAGACTCGATGGAAAAGTCAAAGAATGAACAACTTGAAAAATTGCGCAATGATATAGGGCGTGGTGATTCGGTTCCCATGGAAACCTGGATGCCCACAGAGAAGCAGTTGCCAACGAAGAAGAATCCTGAAATCAGCCTTGGCGCGTGTGACGACCGGGATGAAAACATGGCTGAGGAGGAAGAAACTTCCGACGATCTTTTAGACCAAGAATCATTTAAACGTTTCCTTAGCCGAGAACATGAAAAATCGACCAAAACGTAATTTACATTTGATACATGCAAAGATACCACATCACATGGGAAGACAAAGTTTCTCCAATCCGTGCAACAAGTTATGGTCTGATCATCAACTGATTTCTTATTAAGAAATGAAGTAAAACCTAGACATGACCATCGTTGATTGTTTACGTCATAGAGATGTCAAACAAGGGTTGAATAGTGTAAAATTATAGTCATTGATATTGATGTAAAACAAAGAGATTTTCGGAGATTTGAACTTTGATTTTGGTTCGTCGTGATTTTAGCCTATTAAGCAAGATGAGATTATCTCATCGTCTTTACTCGTCTTTAATGTTGGACCGAGTGCAAATTTCATACCGAATTAAGAGTCTGATAGAGTTGTATTGTAAGTGTTAACGCTTTAGATGGCAAATTTTTCAAAAGTAGTTAACGGTTCCGTTCACTGATTGTTGCATATCTGCTACGCTGCTACAGAAAGGGTTAAGATGTTCGACTTTCCGCACATTCATTGTTCACAAGTTATTTATTTTTGTTGATATTTTTGTTTAACAAACACCAAAATATGTATTTGGAATAACGCAAGAAATGAAAGGTGTTTCCTTAATTACTGTGTTTGGCTGTTTTCACAGGCTTATGCAAACCGAGGAGACCTTTGGGAGAGTTCGACAACAAATCAGTGAAAGTCCAAGACCCAAGATCGAGTACCATCATTTGGACCTGAAAATAACATTACTACAACCCTTAAATACTAGACCGACTCACGCTATTCTGACTTTTCTGTGTCTTAATTTTGGATAATTACGAATGTTCATGAGAATTTCACAATATTTGAGTAATTTCAACCTACCGTATATCACAGCTTTGGCCTAATTTATTGCAAATAGTAAAATTTCAATTATTTTATTTTTTCACTGCGAATGTCAAAAGCAATTGCAAAATTTAAGGAATACCCCCCTGCAGTTTTATCAAAAAGGTGGACAGGGTGGACCGTCTTGTCGCTATAGAAATAGTTGCGAGTAAACAAAGTTGGACAAACGATGGCTGCGTCGACTTTGAAACCTGTTTTAACATCAAAAATCACTTCGAGTGCTTCGCAAACTCCGCTGAGAAGAAACGAAAAACTTCCTAACTTTAAGTTGAGAGAAGCTGGCGATCCTTTGAAAATCTTGGATCCCGAACGAAAGAAGTTGACATCCATTGAATCGCAACGTGTAATGGGTGTAATTGAGGACACTATAAAGCGACTTGAACTATCTACAATTCTTCCTTTTGTAGTGGAAAATCTCGACCGGTTTTCAGTGCGTTTAGGCGCAGATTTGACAAACTTTTTAAAGGAGCACAATGGTCTTCGAGAACAGTATCAAAAAGCCGTATCGCTGTTGCATTTGCAGCAAAAACATCTAGAAAATTTGCATGAGAAATTCACAGAACAAAAGAAGAGACAAGAAACAGAATTCGTTTCATCAAGTAAAAGACGTATTTCTTTTAATACAAAGAAATTGCCAAACGACGTAAGTTATTTCGACATAAATTTAGCAGAAGGAAAGATGAAAGCAGAGTTGAAACAAGTGAACGAATTGAAGGAAAAACTTCAACTTTCTGTTCGTATTATTCTTCGACACTTTGTTCGAGGTCCTACAGACACGTTTCGCAACCAAACCAAGGAGCGCTCTGAAGTTGCTAACGAGATGCTCCGACAGTTGTGTGCATTAAAGAATGCTTTGTTTGAACGCTTGCTTCGAACTCCGTCCGAATTAAAGGAAAGGGAAAGATATTTGAAATTTATCCACCAACGCGAAGTAAAAGTGCGTAAGCATGAAGCAAAATTGCAAGAAGAGCTGAGAATTGCCACGGAAGATATGGAAAACGAGGCAAGTAGATAATTCATAATCTCCCCCTGCATACAAGTTGATCTAATATCATGTGATTATTTTATTGAACAATAATGGGGGGTCCATACAATTTTACATAAAATCTTTCCAAGATAGCACTAAGCTAAGAATATCTTGAAAACATCCTATATTGGCATTGCAATCAAGAGGATGCAGGGGTGCTAGACTCTAGTGGTAGGCAATATTTCTAAAAAATATCAATACTTCTGATAATTAAATTTAGCACCAGGTATCAAAACTATTTTTGAGTATTGACTGTTTCGATATTGGTCACATGATGAGGAAAATGCTGATGAATTGTTTTGATGATTTGTGTCAGTGTGAACTACAAATTGTTCTTCTATCAGTAATTTTTAATGAAATTTGAATACATTACTACTGACTACACCCAAACCACGCCCATGCCATGCTCAACTATTTAGCAAATCCAAGACTCCATTAACACCATCAATTTTGCAACTCATCTGACTTAATAAGATCTTGCAAGATCTTAGCATGATCTTGACATGTGCTTAAAATGATCTTGTCAACATTTTGTGCCATGATCTTGGAAGATAATGGAAAGATATTGAAAAAACTTGGCAAAAATATCTTTGCTGAAGATTGGCATTGTGAAGACATTGTCTAGGCTATATCTTGGCAAGAACTGTCTAAGAACTTGCCAAGATGTATTGTTACTAAAGCTGAAGCAAGATCTCACAAGACCTTACAGATTCTTACGATGAGATAATGTCAAGTTGCTTAATCTGGGCTACTTCTGGTTATCGTTTACATAGTTAGAATTTTGTTGTTGGAGGAAAGCTCACATGTGTATTAAGCTGCTATTTATATTTTCAGCTGGAAAAACACAATGAAACAATTCGCAAACTAAGATTAAACATTTTCAATGTGGAGAAAAAGTCAAGGGAAAGCAATGAAAGGGCAATGAATGAGTCGTCAAAGGAACAACTTGCCCAGCAGAAAAACTCTAATTTAAAAAATTTGAATTTGCAACAAGAAATAATTGAACAGAAGAAACGTATTGATGTATCAGTCACTAAGCATAGAGAAAGTGAACTGGCTCTTCGTAAGGTATAATATGACTGGAGTGTTGTCATACATACAAGGATGCATCTTTGATGATTTTTTTGGAGGTGTGTGGTGTGCTATAGTCTGGTGCCCACTTTGTTTGTGTTGACATGCTATATGTGTGTATTGTTTTTCCCAACTATGGATAGAAAAAGAACAGAAAGTGTTTTTTTTTCATACACTCTAGGGCATTGTGTTCATAAATGCAATTTTTTCTTACCAGATCTAGTCAGATGATTATAAACACTCCCCCCTACTCTGAACTTTGCCAATATATAAAGAAGGTGGGAGAGTCTAAGCTTATCAGACCAAATCTTGTAAAAAAATTGATCATTTATGGCCACACTGCTCCTGGTTGTATAGTGGGTGATGCAGGTTATACTACCACATTTTGTTGTTGCATCAGCACAACTTGACAAAAGTCCCAAACACCCTTTTGCCCAGATGAATCATTATTAACAATCAACCATATGTACGAAATTTAGTATTCAAGACTGTTCCATCTAGGCTGAAATGAAGATGAAAGGCCTTTTTAAGTGATGTGTTAGTAGCTGTATTACGTAGCTATTTTATTGTTTACACAAGAGAAGTTATTTTTCGAAAGGTGATTCATCACTCAGTGTATTGACATTTCCTAGGGAAATTGGAAATTTGTAGAAATTTCATGATGACTATACGTCTATCACTGTGAATAATTCATTATAGATCACAAGCTTTCTACCTTAAACTGATTCTTTCATCTCTATTTATTTCCACAAACGGTTTTGTGTATTAACTTGTTTGTCTTTGGTCTTGCTGTATTTTCCAGAAAAGGTTCAAGGTTGAAACAGAAGTAGAAAATTGGATACAAAAGTATGATACTGACATGGATGAACGACAGGTAGGATGCATGTTACAACAAGTACATCAAGAATAAGTTTAAAGAATGGTTTCCCGCGCTTTTCTTCTATTCGTCTAATGACATCAGAACTTCGCCCAGTGGGTTTGCAAGGCTTAGGGGGAAGTTGAAAGGGAAAAAAGGAAATAAGCAAGTGCAGAGAGTCATCACTTGCCGTTTTTTGTTTCCATGCTTTTTAATTAATTGTAAGTATATGTGCGAACGGTGAAATGTATTTTAGATGCATAAAGATGAAACAGCTTCGTACCACTGAATATGTTTCTTAACAGAAGGTTCACTTGTGTAAGAACCTTTCATGTTTTGTTCCCCACTTTTCTGAAGCAAATTCTAAGCGATAGAAAATATATATGGTTGTTTAAAAAAATATATTATTTTGCACTAAAAAAGCTTGGTACCTTATCTCTTTTCCAAGATGATAACTCCTGTTAAAAATTTCGGCAAACTTTTTCTTTAAACGTGAATTATTAGTAAAAATACATTACTATTCCATATTTATTTCGTGAGAGTATCTTGCTGGGCAGTCACGCATGCGTAGTGAAAAACGCCACGATTTTAGTCGAGTGGGCCTTCTGTTAGCAGTCTATTCTGTGATCGTAGTAAAGGGAACTGGGATGATTTGATTAACGTAATCATAGAGTTAATAATTAGTAAGTTAAAATCACGTGAAAAGGGGGTATTTAGATTCAATAAGTATGGACTGTAATTACTGTTTTTTTGTCGAGTACGATTATCTATTTGTGAAACAGTGATTAATAAAATATATATAAAACTTATGAGTGTGTTGGCTATCGACTTAGCTTCTATACCGCTCCCAATTCCTACTTAGAATAGACACAGTTGGTTCGTCAATGGTAAAATCATCCAGTGTTGCTCACACAACTCTTGAACAAAAAGCTTAATAATAGGAAAGTAATTGCGGCTTTGTTCTTCTCCTTAGCCCATCTTCTCAGTGTAGGGATTCGTTACTCTTCTGACTGTTTCGCATGGGTATGTCATGGTTGGCTGTTTGCATAGTTTCAATTCGCATAGCCATTTTTGATATTTCTCTTGTAAAATACTCACTGTTTATCACAAGCATGATCAATGGTACCGTAATTTTCCAAGCCCGCATTTAACAATAATTAACTAATCTTTAGGACGAGCTTGATCAGTTAGACGAAATTTACACGAAAGAGAAGAAGCAGTTGAACGAGCTCGAAGAACGCTTCAAGGCTATGGAGACGGAATACAAGGACATCATGGAGTCGAGGAGGATTGCTCGTGAGAAAGCTGAGGAGGCAAACAGGGAGCTCCAGGCTATGACAAAGGCAGCTACTTTGATTCAATCATTTTGGCGCGCGTTCAAAGCACGAAAGCAACTAAAGAGAAAAAAGAAAAAAGGCAAAAAAGGAAAGAAGGGAGCAAAAAAGAGACGAAAATGAAGAAATATGTTTTTGTTGGTGTTTTTCCACTTATACTGCTCGTATTTTTTCACTTCACTTCAGTAACTCAATGACTGAAAGTAACCCTTAATTAGCAACGATTGTTGAACACGATCACTTTGCTATTTGTCATCGTTAATGAGAAAACAGAAAATCGACGAATCTATACACGAAAAGACAGAAAGGTTCGCTGAGAAGAAAACGAAAGCTGCTGAATAAAAAGTGAAGAATTGATTTGACATAAGTGAAAATGACGTGCTATACATAACTGGAAAGTTTTGTCTAAACAAAGACCTTAAAACGTAGTTGGGTTGTGATTCGCTGACGTATGTATAACGAAATCTTGAAACTTCTCTAGGGGGCAGAAACGTCGATGGAAAGAATTAAAGGTAAGAAATCGATTCCTTTCCGAGACAAGTCAGCTGTCTTGTGTAAATAAACCGTCCGCGGTTGAAGAGATGAAATACGAAGATTAACTTAGTGTCTCTTAGGGCTGAATTCAGGGGCCGGTAGTATAAAGCTCTTAGCTACTTTTTAAATACCATTTTTGCAGTTAAAAACCACGCAGTTATGTAAGTCGGTTGTATAAAAAAGTAGTTACCGCTAACTGCAGTTAAAGTATTTATACAACCGGCCCCAGCTGTCATGTTTTTTACATGTAAATATTGTAAGTAATTAAATGTTTTTGAAATTGGCGTCTTCATAAAATATTTATGAACAATGCCGCAACTAAAACATTTCAAAACAGTGTTATCTTGCTGACCAATCACCTTTATGATTTAATAAGTGTGTTTGAAAAGATTTACAATTTTATGTTCGTTTACCTACATTTTGTAAACAAGAGTAAGAATCAAACATTAAAATAATTTTTCACTACGTATTTTACGCGTTGTTTGCGATCGCACGCGTTGTTTGCGATAGGAGCATTAAGGGAATGGGGCAGTAACTAGTCTTTTCGGCAGAAAAAGCCAATCCGAGAATATGATTTACATATCTAAGTAGAAGTTGATGAACACTCAAATCATTGTCACCAGCTGAAACCTGGCTGAAACTACTAAAAAATATATTAAACACTTCATATCTCTCAAACATCTCTTGTTACAATGACAGACAACCTGACGCGTTTTTCAACGACTTACATGTTATAAGGTAACATATTTTACTGTAATTGTGACCTTAAAGACTTGAAATAAATTAAAGAGTCTTAGATAAGCATCCCCAGCGAGCAATACAGTGCTATAACATTTTACAACCTAATTTGAGATATTCTCATAAGTCCTCTGCTATTGTTACGAGGAAGTCATGCTTTTACATGGAAACTAAATCACACTGAATACGTCAAACACTTAATAGATTTTGACGAGATAAGGATTTTAGAATGATAAAATACAACGCGATGCCAGAAGTTTTGTATTGAAACTGTGCACCTGTTCTCTCCCCCTCCCTCTCTCCTAGGTTGAATGGTACAATTATGTTCTTAAAACCATGACCAGCCGAGAATTTAAGAAAATATAGTATAAAACAAATTCCGGAAAAAACAAAACATCTTGAGATTGTAAAATATGTATCAAAACAAGACGAGAAGCGAACTGTAAATTTTCGTGTTTATTTCAAAGTCATCCTCAGACAGAATATTCTTATTTATTTAATTCATGCGTTGTAAATATATATGTGTATGTATGGTTTTAAATGTCATTCTGTTTAAGGATGACTTTGAAATAAAGTCGAAAATTTACAGTTCACTTCTCGTCTTGTTTTGATTCATATTTTGCAATCTCAAGATGTCTTGTTTTTTTCAGAATTTATTTTATACTATAATTATATTCTTATATTGACATATTATTCTGGTGGCCTGCATGCAGTACGCGATAAAAACTACTTCAAAATATTTCTGTTTATTAAAGCTTCATATAGTCTTTAATGTGCTCTGAACATTAAAATCTATAAAATGTCATATGTAAACATACGTAGTTATCACATGTCGGTGACCTTATGTTAGACACAGCATAATAGTTGCCCCTTATGTAAGAAAATTTATCAAGTGTTCCTACTGCTCTATTTGTCATTCAGAGTTAGAATAATCTTTAGTCTCGTTATCATTGAACATCCTCACAAAGTTTTTAAAACCATGCAAGTTAACTCCTTCGGTGATTCAGCATAAATAAGAGCATAGCAAAAATAGGGCCTCAATCACATTAGTCACAAGATCTGAGCACAGATCTTGTGACTGAAGTTTTCATCCGATCAGACCCAGATTATTGCCCACACATATTACACGCATAAAGTGCGTGCAACGTTGCTGACTTGATTTTGGGTGTAACTTATGTGTAATAATTTACTGCCTTATTCGTAGTTCATTCAAAAAGTTCTTTATATTTACATATTTCGTACTATAGCTGAAGTACTTTCAAGTGTTTACAAGTCTACGCCTGTCTGATAAAGAACGCCCTTATTCACGCAATTATTCATAAGAAGGTAGACATGAAAACATTAAGAATAATAAAAAAAATTAGCCTCCAATTTACAGCAATTTTCGAATGACAGAATGCCGCATTTTTCTGTTGCAAACCAATATTGCGGAATTCTTCATTATTTTATTGACGTTGCATGGCAACAAGTACGCGTCGTTCCCTCTTTACATGCGTCAGCAGGTATACGATGTTAGTACCCTCGGATGTAGGATTGTCATTCCGATTGACATAAGTGAAGTTAGAAGTAAAATATTGTTTATAATGTACCTAAATTTTCTGACGCTCTCTACAGAATGAGAAAGTGAAATGCTCCCGAAAAACAAAACATGGACGTTATAAGTGATATCATGGGCCCGTTGAAGCCAGTGTTTGATGCCTGTGACCAAAATGGGGACGGTTTTGTGAAAACTAAAGATCTTGTGCTTTTGCTAAAGAATCATACCGGTAGTGAAGAGGTAAACAAAAGCATTCTAGTTGAAAAATTATAACGATCTTTGATAGTGTCACGGCGCTTACGTTCTAAATTTGCAATCTGAAACTACTTTATTACTTGGTTAAAGCGGTGGGATTTGTATGGCTTGCCTGTTGATAAAAAGCCACAATTGGGATATTGTTTTGTGGCTAAACTTTATGATTGTATTATGTTAGGATCTAGATTTGTACCTTGGGAAATATTGCTTTTTGAATATTTTATTCATCTTAAAGTCTACATAAGAGCAAAATTAATATCAAAATTGATACTCTGCGATTTGACCATCAGTAGATTTCCACCGAAATTCAATCCTTACAGACTGAGTTATTTAGATAATTGCTTCAATTCTATAAAGAAATTGAAATACATCTCAACTTCTTGTAATCTTTTACAATTATTTTTGCTTTATCGTATCGCATTACGAAGTTAAATCAAGTTTCTCGTATTTCCATGAGTAAAGGTTAGATGATCAGAAACTAGCTCTTAAACAGTTTCCGCGTTAACTTCATGTGACGAGTCATGCGAAGGCTTATTTTCGTGCCTGAGGTGCTTTTCATACTATATATCTCAACAAATATTTTCTCCTAAAATATATTATAGCAACTGGTTTCTTGCCGGGGCGTTTTAACTTTCTGCCGAAATTCAAGTCGCTTTTAAAGCTGATGGTCTGCTATTGTTTGGTTGTCATAAAAGACAAAACCTTTGGCCAGCATTGTGTATTAAAAAAGGAAATACGCCGGGTTTGCGACTATTCATGTTCGTTGTCAAGAAAAAACTGATTCCAAGCGCAATATTTTTGTTGTTTTACCAACGTACATCTGACCCCACCGACCTTGTTTCTCTCGCTCCTGCTCTTTTGCTTTGTATTCAGTTTCAGAAGCATTGCCCAGTTGGCAGTTGATTGCGATGCCCACAACTATTTATTTGTCACGAAACCGAAATGCAAAGCAATAAATTTATTTGTTTTGTAATTTAAGTTTCGATTGACGTAAAGATGAAACGAACTTTTTTTGAATCAATTCAATTATGATTATTTAATGTACATTCGCTTGTTTTTATTCAAGTTAATTTACTATTATTACATTAGAAATGGCTAAAGTGGTCAAAGACTCTACTGAAATACTTTCGCGTTTTGTTTGAACTTGTTTTTAGGACATGACTAGCATGACTAGATTTCTGGACCCATATGATAAAGGCTCAATATCATTCAGTCACTTTTGCAAAGGAGTCAAAGAGTTTATGGGTAATTATGTAATTTGTAGCACTGCCTACTGCTGAGCTTATTTTCCCTCTATTACATAATTTTTTGTAAATGAAGACATTTGAAACATAATAAGACAGTTAGCTTGATAATTACTTGATTTAGATTGTCCTGATTAAAATTTGATTTATTAGGCATGGCTTATGGCAGCACCGACTGAGCAAAACATAAAGAAAATGTGAACATATTCTAGCACTCATTTTTCAAGTGGAAACAATGAATTGAACTACTAACCCAAAACATCAATTTTATATTCTTGATTCTGATTATTTTATAGCTGCCCAAGGTGTGCAAGAGGATGTTCCCACAGATAATAATAATTCGACTATTGGTAATTTAGATGAAAAGGCAAGGGAATGTATTTTAGTAAAATTTATTAAATAAATCTGATGATAACTAAAAATTGATCAAAAGAACAGATAATTTTCATAGGCTTGTTTGTTAGACCACTAAAGTTTCACCTCCATGTTTAAAAGATCAAAATTTTCCACATCATGTATTGATTTGAAAATTCATTTCCAGGAAGAATTCCTTTTAAACGATCAAAATGGTTATCTTACTGATGACAGTATGGCTGATGAAAACACCAATCCCTTTCAACGAAATCTATTGTATTCCACCTACCCACCAATAGGCAACTTAAAGAAAGAGATCCTCCATTATCTCCACAAATTGTTGAAAGTGACTACAATTGGATCATAGCGAGTACAGTGATGTGAGTACCGGCAAGTTACAAGCACACCCAAAATGAAGAGGAAATTTGGAAGTATGAGGTATACAGTATTCAAGCTAGGTTTTCTAGACTTTTTCATGAATGCTTGATTATTTCTTTAAAAACACCCACTACAGTTATACTATTGGTTTTAGGAATAGATTAGTGTCACCTTCACTGACTAATGGCACAAGACCGTATAGAAGTTATGAAGATCTTGAGAATGCTGTGTCTGATAATGATCAAAATTTGACAAAGCTATCTGAAAAGGTAATTGGGGATAGAGGAGGGGAAATGTATATCACACATTGCTCTTTTATTTCAGCATTCATTCACATATAAACTTCTGGACAAATCTAAGAATATTTGTAAAGGAGATGCCCACTTTAAGTTTTGCTTTAGCTGTTTATAATGCTCAGCTGTTGGGAAATGTACTTATTTTGCATGTAAAACCATGGTATTCTGAAATTTTTCATTTGCACTAATTTTTACAAACATATGTCTAAAAATTGTAAATAATTATAGAAAAATCAACTTTATCATTTAACTGATGAAAATATCATGGCCATGTGGAAATATCCAAGCGTTTAAACCTCAGTTTTGGTTTTTTAATTATTTATTTTACAAAATATTCTAAAGGCAGTAAAAGAAAACAAGAAAGTTTACATAGTTTTAGTTTCGATTTTTTTATTTTAGCTGTCCTGTCTTACAATAGAAATGTCCAACTTACAAGAAGAGAATTTAATCAATCTAAATAAGCACAACAAGATGAAGGAGGAAAATAAAAAATTAACCGAAAGGTCAGTGTTAAATTCTTATAAAATCCTAACAAATATGCTCACCAAGACTTGTTTGTTTTTTCCTCACAATTGGCACACCGTTGAAGTTGTTTCTTGAGCTGCTTGAAGATGTTTTATGGATTAATTTGAGTCATGAAGAGCTGTTCATATTTTTCTCATTCAGCGTGAAGAATTTCTATTTTTCAAGTAGAGTGTTTGTTTGGCGAAAAATTACTGCCTTGGTCACATTATAGAGGTTGCTTCATGGATGATGTGATCTTCTCCAATAATGTGAAAATATATGTTTCAATAATTTCACAATTCCACGAACTTCCGCGAACAAAATGAATGTACAAAATTTCATATTTCCCGCCATTTCTCCCGCCGCCCTGATCTCTAAGAAAAATTGTTAGCACTGGAGTGTAACAAACACGTCCAGAAGGATTTTGTCGTCAATACGTAACATAAATATAAAAGAAATGATTAAAAAAAATTTGAAAAGAAAAGTTTAGTGCCCACACCCACAGCATGTAATAGAATTAAAGCCATCGAGCATATAGTTCATGTATCTACGCAACAATCATAATATTAGCAAACAGTCAAAACAATTGATAGGAAAGAGGAGGGGTGTTGATTTTTTAGTATGAAGAACGAATAGCAGAGTTATGGAATGAAAAACATATCGGTAAAATGTTTCGTTTTGATTACCTATAAATATTTTGATTAGAAAAAATATTACATTTAAATACTTCAAGTGGATTTTTATACTCTTAAAATATGGACGTTTTCATTTCCGCTTTTAAAGTGCCTTTGTCAATCGATGATAATTTGCATTTGAAGTGCACACCTGCGGGTGGATTTCAAAACAACTAGTTTGAAAACCTACAAGCTTTAATTTACAAAATATCTAAAGCTCCACGGTGGATGTGAAACTATCGTATATCTTCAAGGTTTTGATTTCTGTTTGAAAAGGTGGGAAGTCGGTGATTTTGTTGAATCATTGTGTGACGTGTCTTGCAAATTACACGATTTCATTTTACATTACTCATGCCTGTATTGAACAATTTCTGTCGACAAAATGTTTTGCTTTTATGATTTCTTTAGTAAATAATGAGATTAAACCCCCAAATTAAGAAGGCTTGAACATTTATGAACTTCAGCGTAGAAGAAGTCTTTGTAAACTCATTCAAAAGAGTATTAACTAATTTTGAATTATGTTCTCTGGGGAAAAATTGCGTCTTTAATCGGCGAAATTATACAGTATAGAACTGCCTCAATAACAAATTTTTCTTTATTGTAAAATTTCTTTGAAATACACTTTAAAAAAAGTAGAACAACCGATATTGGATCATCCGATATAAATGAATTGACAATAACGTCATATTGCTACAACGAGTTAAAGCTTCTTTGATGTGTGACTTCGTATAATATCGTTGTCACAAAGACAATATTCGAGTATATTGTAGAACCTATGTAAAACTGTTTCCAAACTTTCTGGGAAAATTTCCAACAAATTTACAAGTCATAAGGGGTGTATCTTTATAGAAAAGAAATTCAATAAGCGTCCAATGTCTACAAAATAGTTTGCTTATGTATCGTTTTTGTCTCTGTGTTCTGTTATAAATTATTCAAACAATAGTCTTTATCGATGGTAGGTGTGTGTCGGATTCTGTTATTTCTCAACATTTCAATGCAAACGTATTTTAAAAATGTAAAGGATATGATGTTGTTCTTTATTTTGTCGTGTCGTTTTTACTATTTTAATTTACTTATATAGAGTCAACGCCCTTGACGAGCTACTCGAACAGCAAAAAATCACTACGGATGAAAAAGTCAGCGAGGAATCGCGGAAATATTCAAATGCCTTGGTAAGTACAAAATTTATCTTTGTTTTCTTGTCAGTGACCATTGGCGAGGTAATATCACTGACATTTGAGCCAGAATCAAGGAAAATTTTTATACATCGTTAGTTGTTAGGAAACGTCGACGATGGCAATAAATAGGAATTATTGTTACTAAAATCAGGACGTGACTTCATTTTTAAAGTAAAATAATTTCGGCTGCCATTGGTCTTCAAAAATGACGTCATGTCGTTGTTAGGAAACAATTGACGAGCTCCGATCAACTGTTTTGAGTAAAGGCCATCGAGAGGACGTGTTGCACTCCCGTTTAACCTTTTTGTATCATCATATTCTGTGATTTTTACATTCATGTTCGCGTTATGTCTAGTGTCCAGCTTTTAAAGCCTCTTTTGACGTAAAAGCAAACAACCAGTTTTAATTGGGTATTTGCAATTTCTCGTAAGCCAATCACGGGGTGCAGCGCCAAAAATAGGATTATTCCTATAGGCTATGTAGCTGCCTTTTTGATTTATGTTAACCAGCTGCTTTTTATTTGTGTAAGTCAGCAGCTTTTTTGACAACACGTAGCTTAAGCCCCATTTACACAACCAAATATTTTTAATAGTTTCGCTATCTCAAGACATTTGGCAATTTTGACTTTGATAAAAGAAAATTTGGTCTTGACTGTAAAAGATACTACCTTTCGCTACCGTTAATATTGCAAATAATTAAAGCGAACGGCAACTTCAAAACGCGTTTGTTTACATATGTAGCATTAAATTAGACGACCAAACAATTGTTTCTACGCTAGAAGCCTAGAACAGTGTAGGTTTTCATCGTGAAAATGACATGTTTGACTTTGTATCCGGAAACTTGCAAGTTTAAACATGTTTAATTTGATATGTATAGTTTCAATTTCGAAGAAACTTCCTTAGCATTTATCGATGAGTGTTAGCATAAGACCAAAAATAAAACATTTGGAGAAATCTATCCATGTGAACGGAAATAATGAACGTATTGTTGGCGAAAATAGAGGGGCGAACTATAATATCTGAAGCTATCGTTTCTTAGTTTTAACTATGTTTTACGCTCCTAACTAATAACTACAGCTTTTCAAGTGTAAACAAACGCTGTGTAAGGATTGTGTCATGGTTCGTTGCACATAGTAAAATAATGTAACGAATGCCAGTTTTTCTTCGGATATTATAGCAATCTTTTACTTGTAGGCGCGATTAGAGCGTGAAAACGAAGAAAAATTGGAAAGACTTCAACACAAGTAAGATAATAATGCGCTGTTTGCCATGATTTTGACTTGTTTATTATGAAGATTGTACTTGTGATTTCAGACTGAATGAAGCTGAAGAGGAAATTACTCAGTTAAAACAAGTTGATCCGATGATAAAACGCGAACTGGAAGCATGTCTTGAGGTAAGTGTCTCCGACAAACCATTTTCCTCGTACAAATGTTAGAGAATTGTTAAGATGAACGAACGGAAATTGTTGATTTAGGAAAAACGCCTGCTAGAAGAGAAAATAGAAACCCTTGAGTTTAAATTACAAGAAAAGGAACGAACTATTGAAGAACTCGATGAAAGAAATCGATCGGAAAAATCGAAATTTCAACAGGAACGTAAACAACATACACAGGTAGGTGCTAAAGGAGATTTCATTCAGAACTTGGTACAAGGGATACATTGCATACATGACGCATCATTTCTTCACACGTAGGTGGTCGTAGAGTTACAGAGCCGCATCGATGAATTGAAAAGTTTCAAAAAAGACGCCGAATCAAGATTACCTGATTTTGTAAACGTTGCAGCTGAAAAAGGCGACCTTGAAGATCAACTTAGAGCCCTTCAAAAGGTTTTAGCTGCTTTTGTTGTTTTTGCTGTAGTTCACTTTGCTTCTTGTGGTTTCTCATGTGGAAAAAATATATGTATATGTATTTTTTACTGAACTTGTTGCTATGTTTGTAGCTGATTGTTACCTAACTTGTTATTACTGTGCTTGAAGCTGTTTGTGTCAAATAACTTGTTACTGTGCTTGTAGCTGTTTGTGTTACAGTCTTACAGAACTTGTTACTGTGCTTGTTGTTGATTAAACTGCTTTTGATTCACTTACTGGGCACTTTTTACAAAATATTTCGAACGCATTTGTCGTTTTGTTGAACACATTTTTAAAACATTTCATCGTTTGTGTGTGTAGGAAAACGCCAATTTGTTACAAAGCAGGGAGGAGTTAAAAGTTCAGTTAATCCAGCAAGGAAAATGTCTTCTCGAGAAGGTAATGGAACCAAATAACTTAACCAATTATGAAGAATTAATGTGTTTGTCATTTCAAAATAGCTATATTGTTCAGTAAAGTTTAGCAATAGCTAGATATATACATTTCACTATTTTCAATCACAATTTCACGACTGAATTACACTTTTAGAACACATCTTTGGCTGATGAGTTATTCTCCGCTGACAAGGAGGATGTACTGAAGGCTCTCAGGGATCAAGAGACATTGAATCACAGACTTAGAGCGTATACAGACAGTATCCTGATGATGATCATGGAGTATCACCCCGAGTTACTGGAAAAGTAATTCGTGATGATGAAATTATAAAGTTTTTTCAAGTTATAGTCTAGATAACATTTAATTTTATACTCTGTATATAGCGATACGATTTTTTAACACAATGTAGCTGACATTTTCGAGATTTTAGAAAAGATAAAGACTAATAATGAATGGCTCGCGTATTGAATTAAAATGAATGGTAACTGTACAATATTGAATTAATCATGCAACCAATTCAAGAAGAAATTTCTATATCTGTTCATTTAATATTATAAAATAAAAACAACAAAACGAGTGCGCTGATTTGTCTTAAGCTGAGTTTGCATTGGTAGCAAAATTAAAACATTTGTTTTAATTTTATTGGTTTCGCATTATCATTTTATAAAAGAAATAAGAAGTTTTTCGTGTTTGCTCTTGGCTTATTCAAACTTCTGAGACATTTGTGAGAACTCTCGAGCAGGTACAACCCTCGACATTCGGTCTCGGGCTTGCACTGATCTGCTCTTGAGTTCTTCCGAAGGTCTCCTCGGTTTGCATAAGCCTGGGCAAACACAGTAAACATCTTTCATTTTTTTAAATTTGTACCTTTAAAACAACTTTAGTAGGGAAGTTGATACAGATTGTGATTAAATTAAAAACAGAATTTATAGTTTTTAAGACACCATTAAGAAAGAATGAAACGGTAGTTTTCTAATTTATAGTTCTAATGATTGTAATAATGGTTCTCGTGATATTAATAAGAAAGAGAATTGAACAAGACTACTATTTGGATTAATATAACGGTAAGCGATAAATGTATATTTGGATATAATGCTATTTGTTGTAATGTAGTTGGTAAAATCCACTCCTGCTCATCAAAATCATACAAGTTCATGCCCTGGCATTGGATACTTAGCGCTATATTCCTCAATTTCCTCGCGCAATGCCTTAATTTTGCCGTCAAATTCCTCTTTTGCCATGGTAGCTGTAAACTCTTTAAGAGAATTCCCGCCACTAGCCTTGGCTATTTCCAACCCAAGTTGAACTCCTTGGTGTAAATATTCCGCAACTTTTTCGAAATCTGCTTCTTTGAAATTTCGCGAAGTCAACGCAGGCGTACCAACCCGCAGACCACCCGGTCGCAGAGCACTTTTATCCCCCGGGCAAGAATTCTTGTTGACTATAAATAAACAAAAAAATCTTTAAATATGTGGTTATTTGTAAGCACTGCACTGCACTGCACTCCATTTCTGCTATTCTCTATCTTTGCTATACTGTTTTTTTCAGAAAAGTTATCATTTATTTATAAATAAATCAACTCCATTAATTGTCTTTCACGTGAACCAACATAATAACTTTGCACAACCAAAATAAGATCTGGTTGGCTCTACTATCCTTCACTTTTGTAAATTACCTAGGCGAAAATCTCAACCTTGTAAAGTTACAACCATGAATTGATTCAGAGTACAAAATAGTAAGAAAACTTCAGCTCACCTGTGATAGAAACTGCTTCCAATATCTTCTCCATTTTGGCTCCGTCGGTGCCCAGTGGTCTAACATCCCATAACACTAAATGATTCTCGCTGCCACCAGAGACCAAGGAGTAACCTTTCGAAACCAAAACCTTGGCCATGGCTTGACAATTAGAGACAATCTGCTTGGCATACTCTTTAAAATCGGGCCGAAGAGCTTGCTTGAGGGCAACACACAAAGCGGCAATTGCGTGATTGTGTGGTCCACCTTGAAGGGCAGGAAACACTGCAGCGTTGATTTTCGGACCGTAGTCGTACATGATCGGCTGACCGGTCTTCGTATGACCCTTAACTCCCTTCCGGTAGAAGATCATACCAGCTCGCGGACCACGCAAAGATTTATGTGTGGTAGTGGAGACAATGTCAGCAAGCTCGAAAGGACTGGTGACAACTCGACCTGCAGCCAGACCGCTGAAATGAGCCATGTCAACTAGCAACATGGCACCGACGCTGTCACATATAGCACGAAATCGTTTGTAATCCAAATCACGTGGATAGGCACTGTAGCCAGCGATGATGATTTTAGGACGAAACAATCTAAGAAAATGAATTGATTAGAACGATTAAATCGTAATGCATCGCATTAAAAGAAACCACCAATAGTTGACCTAGAGTAAAACCAGCATTAGTTGACATGAAGCAAAACCACCATTAGTTCACTAGAAAAAAAAGATTACCATCGCCAAAAACGCAAACAGATTTCACTTCATGACCAAATCAGACTTTGGGTCACAAACACCATATAGGTGAATGATTCCTTTTAGGAGTTGCAGAATTGATGATTTACAATCCCGATTAACGTTTTATTAAGACTGCAGAAGCATGCTGATGGGCTTTGACATTGAAAAAAGGAGTACATTTTTATCATTGATTGTTTATAACAAAAACTGAAAAAGAGTCCAGTTTCATAACTTCCAAGGTCTTATGAATCTGGTTATGCATGATGTCACAAGCGACGTAATGTGACGCAATAACGTGCAAAAATTACTCAGTTGCCATCTGCAATGTTAAACGTTTTTACTTACTTTGCACTTTCCTCCAATTTATCATAATCAATATATCCTGTTTCTGGATTCAGTTTGTAAGGCATTGACTCAAAATATATCGATGTGGCAGATATCCTCTTTTTGTCCGTCATAAATCCATGGGTGAGATGCCCACCATCAGGCAGGTCGAGACCCATGATTCTGTCATGAGGTTGCAACAATGCTGTGTACACCTCAAAATTTGCAGGCGAGCCAGAGTATGGTTGAACATTTACACCCCATTTCTCGGCATCCAATCTAAAAATTTGGTGGAAATGATTGAATAGAAGGAATGCTATGACTGTCAGGGCCATAGAAGTATGTTGTGTTGGTTAGGGGACCAGACTGCATCATCAAATATTTATCATAATTTGCGGTGGTAATTTATGATTTACCATTTAAAATAAATTCCACAAAAAAATAATGCTCCTGTAACAGCACCTACAGTTCAAATACACCCCTCCCCCCTCAATCATTTGCTTTTGCTGCTCAGCTATCATTTCTGATTGTTTCTCAATTATCAACAACTAAAAACAGCATTATGATAAACACAAGGTACAGAGACAAACTTCAATCAAACACAGGGGAGATTTACAGGGGGGTAGAAAGACATTTGCACTATTCTTAGTCTTGGTTTGAGGGGGTGCAAGAGGAGTGCAAATCGCCCTACAAAATAATAATATAATGAGCAATGAAGGAAAAGTAATTGGGATCACACTTTCAAAAAATATCTCTAAATGGCATGGTAATATCCTTTAAGTTGTCATTAAATCTACGTCAACCTAGAATACCATGTGGTAAAATCATCAAGGACCTATTCCTGATCAAACCACTAACATATATATGGCTTCATAGCCATGCACATACCCATAAACTTCCAAAGCTCGATTTTGGCACAAAATCTCCATTTCATCTATAAACTGGTTTCCTCCATAATAACGTTTTCCTGGCTCACCCTCAGAATATTTATTGTGCATGCAAGAGCCCATGGCCTCTAGAACAGCCTTGCTCGTAAAGTTCTCTGATGCAATGAGTTCAAGACCACGAACTTGACGTGTTTTCTCCTTCTTAATGATGTCATACACCTCAGGGTCATTAGTTGCCAGTGGTTCTTGAAGATATGCTTGCTCCATTTTTCCCTTGAATAACTGGGTATTTAAATATTTTTTGTTATATTGATCCATAATAAATAATAAGAGGAAACATATTTCAAGATAATGAAAGCAAATAGACAGTCTGAAAGTGTTATGATAAGGCAGAATTGATCATCAACACCTCCAAATTGGAAAATCATTCTTTTTAAATATCCTGATTTTAAAATATTTCAGGTATCATGCCTGCTGATATACCTAAGGCCCAGGGTATGTTTTTGATCAACAATGAACAAATATTTCAAAGAATTAAGAAAGGAGGATGAGTACAAACATTCCACTCTCCTGATCGAATGATATTTTAAATGAACATTTTGAGACAGAAAAATCAGATGATATAAAGTTCATTCACACTAGCAAGGATGTCCCAAAATACCTAACATTAACACTTCCGGACAATACAAAATCTCAACCGTCATTTCGTATTTCGCTACTGTTCGCAGTACATTATTTAAAATTTATGAAAATTTTTTGGAAAAGGTGCGCAGATTTGGAGTTTTGAAATACAACTTGCTCGCACAAATACTTTACAAAAATTGGTGCGAAGCAAGGATAAACACAGCGCATGTTATGTAATGATAAAATCATACAACGCTATAAGTTGAAACAAACAAGAAATAAATTGAAGAAATAAATTTTATCACAGCATATGAAGTTCGCAACGTCTTTGACTACTTACATTATAATGCTTCAGATAAATCGAAATGAATTTCCCTCGCGAAGTAAAGATCAAAGTAATGACATGCAATTAAAACATAAAGTACAATTACTCAAATAAACCCGGTATTTCATCGAAGATTAGATTACAAACGCACGTGGTTGCACATTGTTTATACAGTTGTGGGGGCGACTATTTAGCACATACGCAAAAAGGGGGGTGCATTTCTATCATCGTTGACTCATTATATTACGCTACAAAAAGCCTACATTTGTGATTTTCTGTTTTTGTTAAAAATTAGATAAAACTATTGTTTGTCACTTGTGTGTTTCACTATTGAAGGCTCAAACAATGTTCCTGGGATAGAACAATGTATATTACACGTTTATTTCAACGCGCTACACACCTCCCTTCATCTCCCCAAAAACCAGCTTTAACCAAAGGCGGCCCAAAATCTGTTAAAGTTTTTTATTTAATCGATTTATTAACAAATGTCCCCCAAATCTACAAACTATTTAAGTCAAACCACTATTTAACCCTTTCATTCCCAATGATGCCATATGGCAACATTGTCTTTTATGCTACATAGCTTACATGAAGTAAGCTCAAAAACAAAAATCAGGCAAGCGTTTTTAGGTTTTGATGTGGGTGATGTGATATGTGAGGCAAATCTTCGTAAATTTGTTTTTATATTAGTTTAATTGATTATTTCACATGGTGTCCTACGGAAGTTAGTGAGAGCAAATTTTTGCGCATTTTCAAAGGTAAGTTTAATTATAATTTGTTTAGTTTTGAGATATATAAAAATATTAATTGATTAAATTATTGGTCCTCGTCATATTCAAGCAATTATTTTATTGCGCGATCGGCCCACATAGATTTTCTAATGTATGATGTTGTTGCCATATGGCAACAATGGGCAGATCAATCTCTGGAAGATGTCACTGTAGAAATAGTGTTAATTGAATATAAACTAAGCATTTTCTTTCTATAACTGATGTTTTTATTCTTTTTTAAGAGAGTTATGGATTTGACTGAAGCAGTAGAGCTCATTTTTTGTCCTAATGGTGAAATATCAGATGTAAGCGACATTGATGATGGTGATGATGACGTGGAAGATATTTCCCATGCTGAGGATCAATATTTTGTTGCTCTTCCAGACAACATTGAAATTCATGCAGTTCATGAAGATAGTGAAGTGAGATTCAGTTTTATTTTCACATCTATTTTGATATTTTATGATTACATTGTAACCAAGGCAACCTGAACCTAGCGGCAAGTTTGTGTTTAGAGTTGGGGCAAAACCTTGCTGTAAGTCTTTGCTCTTTTCGTTTAAACAAAGAAATAAAATATCCATTCTTGCAAACAACCAGTGTGCGAATTAACGGCGTGCAATGTGCAATTTGCACATCGTTTTAGCTAAAATGAAAACAATTGCACATCACTTTTTCTAATGATATGCAAAAAACTTCTTTATTGATTACTACCACATAAATTGAAGAAAGTTTTCAAGCTTAGTCTTTACTGATCTTTACTTTATAAACGAGTGCGCTGCGACATTAAGATCCATGTTGGCACAATGTCATCAAATTTAAAGACGTTGTCACTGAGACTGGGAAGTCTGTCAACAGTCTACATACATGGTGCTTATATGCTTATGACAATAGGGGTGTAATACATTATTAATGTCAATTTTTGCATTTGCGTTGTTTTGTAAACCGTTACGTACTGTTTTTGGCAATTGGCATCATAGCTATTTTAAGTATTTTCAGTAAAATCAGGAAACATTTTGATTTTGATTCTTAAAAGACGACAAAAAAAACTTAAATAAGCCAAATTTGAAAAATAAACCAAATGGAATTTTGATTTTAAATAAGCCTCAAGGTCCGAATTATCGCAAAAAAATTGCTTCGCAACTTTTTTCGAATAAGTTCCTACCGACCCCCCCGTTCCGATCGACCCCCACCGATTTACTTTCCTCTTGCAATTTTTACAATGCACATGATTACGCCAATATTTTTTATTAATTTTAAAAACTATAAACTAAAATCCTCGCATTCGTTCTCTTCCAAATCGGAAAGCGTAGCTGCTGCAATATCAACAACGTTTGTAGATGACGCTGACTTTGATTGCTTTTCTGCTGGATACTTTTGTAGTTTTGTACCATTTGGGCGTCTATCTTTTGCTCTAGCCAATATTGGAGAGCTTCTTCCGCATTGAATTCAGCTAGCGGGCATCCTTCTTCACCAATTCTTAGCTGAGCGTCGAAACTCTTTCGCACTTTCTCGGAACTCTTCAAATCTTCCTTGCACACTCCTAGACACTGCATTAATAATTTTTTCATAAGTTTTCGTTACTTTCCTCCGGGACGCATTAAACCCTTTTAGCTTTATTTTTTGGTAAGAAACATCTTCAGAAACAGAAAAGGCAATGCTACGGCATAAAGTATTACATTTACAAAACACTAATTATAACATTTAAAAGTATCTGCTTCATCTTCATCGTCTTCAAGTTCTTCCACTTGATGCCTGGTAATTTTTTGACGTTTTGTCAAAGGTTGGTGAGGTTCTACTGTGTAAAAAAACATTTCAAGCGTACGTAAAGTCAGGGACTCATTCATCAATTACTTACCGTCGTCGGACGTTGTGGCTTCGCACTCCTTCAAAAACCGTGTAAAATTAATAAGTTTTTCGGAGTCGTCCTGAACGCATTTATTGATCAATTCTTTTAGTTTGACCATGGTCCACTCAAATTCATTAATGCGCTTCACCGCTTTAACAGGGTCGTGAACTTCCTTTTGGAATCCCAGGCTAAGAACCTAAAAATAAAAGTCACAACTCTTAATTTTGCACCAGATTATATATGTTGTGATGAGACAGCAAATCTGAACATTGAAGCGTTATACTAATTACCTTCAAAGGTGTCAAAATGTAAATGTATACTGTCATCAGCATAGGATACTTTGCATACGTCCATTTTGACAAAAAACCCCTTCAATTCTTCTCTTTTTGCTGGCACCGAATCTGTTTGGGACAATGACTCAATGTGTAGCATGTATGCGCCATAATTGGCAACAAAGGTCTCCATGGCTTTCAAGTTGTGGGTGATCCATCTCGTTCCAAAGGCTTTGGCTGGCTTTGCTATGCTCTTTTCGAAAATCTCGCTGAATACCTTCAATTCGCGATAGCGCTTTGCCGACTTTTGGTACAAGTAATACAATTTAGTCAGGAGCTCATCCACTTCGTCAAGTTCTGATTAAATGAGTAATGTATATATTATGAACACATTATTCTGAAATTCAACATCTTAAACAAAAGAAGTGTCTAACTGTTGTGACACCATACCTGTTCTTTTAAATGTGTCTTTAACAGCCAGTTCAAGGCGATGGTTGAAGCAATGAATAGTAAGCAGCCATGGTGAGTCTTTGCGAAGTTTGGCTGCAAGTACGTTTATGCTACCCAAATTTACCGAAGCTCCATCCACTTTTAGCGCTGCCAGTTGTCTTGGGAAATTGTTCATGTGAAACCGGGAAAAGCAATCCTGTATCATCTTCTTAAGGCCATCTGCACTTGTTGATGTAGGTGATTCAATTGCTAAAAACCTTTTTTGAGGGATACCTGTCCATTGAAGGAATAGAAATAACGCATCTAAAGACAAGAATCGAAATAATTCAGTTCAGTGTATTGCATTTACCTTCACTGCTTATAAAAAGGAGATACAAAACTTCCTGTTCAGAAACGCCTTTGTCAGTGCTGCCGTCGGTCAACAAAGAAAAATAGCGCGTTTTCTTCAATTCAGACATCAGCTTCTGCTTGAGTTTGTCAGCAATTGAATCAGTGATGTTTGCCATAGCACGCTCGTTTTGGAATTTGAAACTGCGAATCATTCCGTTCATTTCGTTTAACGTAATGATGCTCTCACTATCGCTATAGGGTCTTTCTGAAGTGGCTAAATAGTAGGCAGTGTTGAAACGAGTAATCATTACTTTCCTGTCAATCTCTGCCATTTTCATCAAACCTCTTCCAATTGGAGATCGTTCAACAACTTGTGCGCCAAAAGTTTCGCCCAAGGACTTCTGATCAAAAAGACGTTTTGCATGTTGATGTGCTTTACCTTGGACATGTTTTTTCAAGCTATCTAATTTGACAGATGTTGTCCCATCTATCCATGCTTGCGAAAAACCAGCTATTGAAGAAATTGTTGAGGAGAATTCCACACAGACAGAACATTTTAACGCTTCTACTTTTTTCTTATCTGTACTAAGACTTTTGATCAATTTAACGTTTAAATCTCGCTCCCAATTTTCTACAGTCTTTTGCTTCGCCATCGTTAACGTATGCAGTGTGTATTAGTTTGTGACTTTGTCACTTCGCGTTTTCAGATAATATTGAAAATGTTAAGTTTCATATTACAATTGATAGCGACGTTTTTTAAAAAGTTGCGACCATTTTTGGATAAATTCCTGTTAGTCACATTCCTGAGGCATGATGTAATAGCAACGCTTTGAAATTATGCAAATAGTGCAAGAAATTTGATCATTTGATATTTCTTTTGACGTATTTTAAAACTAGGGAGTGGTCGCAAAGCATAATAAAAACACATCCATCACAGCAATATAAAAAGAGTGCTTTCAGTAAGCAAATTTACATTAAATAACAAGAAATGCGAAATGAGCTTCGCAATTTTACGAAATTTGCTTCGCAATATTTCGCCAAAATCGAAATCACTTCGCAATTTGCGATTTGCGAAGCGCTAATTCGGACCTTGAGCCTAACGTGAGAAAAAGAAGCGAAATTTGGCTCAAAATATTAAGCCAAACTGGCAACCATGATCAGCCATAATTTTTGCTTTACATATTGCTTGTAATATGACATAAATATGATGTTTTTTATCGTAAGCAAACATTAAGGATGTTACTGTTAATAATCAGAAAGCAAAAGTATATTCGGTTATTCTCTTTTCACTTTTGTCTTTCTTGCCATTTTCGTCGAAAGGTTGCACCTACCAGTAAAGTTAATACAGTAAAAAAATGGATGGAAACATTAAATGCTGACTCGTTTGAGTACTAGGATGATGACCATTCGGTGAATTTATTGCGCTGTAAAGTTTGCACAAAAAAGAGGAGAGAATAACATGCGCAAAAAATTTTTCTCATACATTTGTAAC